GTTCAAGTATGTTTATTGAGACAGCAAAATACATCTCAAAGGGATAGAGTAGCTTAGGCTATTTCTACCCTCCCTATTTAAAGAGGGAGGGTAGAAATAGCCTAATCTACCACAAGGTCTGTCCAGCGAGGTTAGACCATGTGGTAGATGGCTTTTTTTTTTTTTTTTTTTTTTTTTTGAGATATATACAAGAGTTGTTACATTCTTGTAGAGCCACTAGTACGCGTAGCGTTTCGAGCAAGTCTTTAATCCTATGGTCCCTGGAATACGATCCCCTGCCGCGAAGAATCGTTTTTTCATCCAAGTACACATTTTACTGTTGCGTTAAACAGAGGCTACAGTTAAGGAATTGCGCCCAGTAAATCCTCCCCGGCCAGGATACGAACCCATGACATAGCGCTCGCGGAACGCCAGGCGAGTGTCTTACCACTACACCACGGAGACTGCGAATCCTTGGATCTCTATCCTTGGACATCCTCTAGGATATCCAAGGATATCTAAAGATAGTTTTAGTCTGAGTTTGCATTTCTGCAAATCGTTTTGTTAATATAGAGTACGGTAGTGTGTGTGTAGTGTATGTTTAGCGTGTTGAGAGGTTGTATAGTGGTGCTGTATGTTTTGATTAAGGTTCTCATAAGTATTGATGTGTGATGATGAGTTTGAGGAAGTTAACGGTTATTAAACCACAAGCACTGACTCCCATAACTGAGATATGGATCCATACGTGAATATCAGATGTATTGAGCATAGAGTATGGAATATTCCATCGAATTTTGTATAATATGCAAATTGTTTCAGGCACAATTTTGTGTGTTTTATCTGTTAAAGCTAAATCGATTGTCAATATTTAAGCCTGGGGAAAATATTCCTTCTTTTTAGCTCTCAATTTGTATGTTAATTATTCTTAAATTTATATAGTCTTACGACATAGTATGTAAGAGGCTTTCCCCAAGCCTAGAGTTAGTTTCTGGGTGCTCACCCAGAAGAGGACTATCTCTAACTCATTGTTAACTACATTAATATGTCTGAACAAGTACTGGAGAAGACAAAGGTGTTGGTATTATCAACGCATACGATATGTTTAGGGAGTTGGGACGCTTTAGGTAAGTTATTGATGTATATACAGCATAGAAGAGACCCAAGTATACTGCCTTGAGGGACACCTGTAATTTATTGGAAGAGTAGGAGACGAGGTGTTGCTTACAGTCAGGTGTTGGTGGGTGTTGCAGGGGTGTGAGTGCGTGGATGTGCCACAGTGGTGCAGAGTGTGTAGGAGAATGTTATGGTGAAGAGTATCTAAAGGCTTCCACTAGTCAATAAAGAGACCAATTGAGTATTCGTTTTTGTCATAATTTTATCAATTCAGGCACTTTTATAATGGAGTCACCTGAACACCGTTGAAGTATAAGCTAGTACTTGCTGGGAACTTGTATGCTCTGCTTAGTAAGGTATTAAATACTTAACTATATACCATTCTCTAAACAAAAAATAATTGTAAATTACATTTGGGTCTATATGGCGTTTGTAAGTACTCCAGGAACCATTTCAGGTTTAAGTTACATGTTGAAAAGTAGACAAATGTCTGGTGAGAAAACATGTGTAGTTTTATGCAGACGAGGAGTCACAATAACGTGGCTAAAATATGTTGACCAAACCACACACTAGAAAGTGAAGGGACGACGACGTTTCGGTCCGTCCTGGACCATTCTCAAGTCACAATTGACTTGAGAATGGTCCAGGACGGATCAAAACGTGGTCGTCCCTTCTCTTTCGAGTGTGTGGTTTGGTCAACATGTGTAGTTTTATTTATATGTTATGGTTAGCATTTCAAAATTACTTCTTGCATAGGCTTTGAGTCTTTCGATGGAGAAAACTTCAAAAGTATTAGTAGATCGTGGTAAATGATAATAACCCTAATCTATACATAGGCTAGAAAACTCACCTCTTTATCTAGTCATGATCTATTCTCTAGGCCAATGTCTCTGACTTCACACACCTTCCTCTCAGCTTACAAAGACAGTATGTAAACAATTAGCATAAACCCACTCTCACTATCCCTGCACTCCAGTCCCAAGGATAGACGACCTCCAACACTTGATGTTCATTAGTCATTAAATAATCACAATCAGTTCAAATCACACAAATGTATTATTGACTGTTTACCTTAGCTGATCTAGTAGATCAGCTGAGGTAACTCCCACATCGAATATTTCGAACGTCAAATTACCTTACTATTATACGATATTAACAATGTTGGTGTTAATGAGTACAATGTTAGTATATTTGGGTTAGTGTGTATATCTCAGCTGTCTAGGAACAGTGTTCCTGGGGAGACTGTCTCATAGGAACAGTGTTTCTGGGGAGACTGTCTCATAGGAACAGTCTTCCTGGTGAGATCGCTACACAGGATCAGTATCAAGGTAAGATATACACCTGATTAGTATTCCAGGTGAGAGCCACACACACACACACAGGAGCAGCAGCCCTGGTGAGCTATACACAGGACCCGTGTTCCTGGTAATAGCACTATACAGGACCTAGAATATACCCCGACCATTACACCTCTGAATTACAGTCACACATTTGTCACTAGTGTATTTAAGCAACAAATTATTACCACATTTAGGAACATCTCCATTTGTGCAGCTGCCCTAGACCGTATGAAGGGGAGTACTGAGTGTGTCAAGAACTAAGTAAAACTAAGTACGTGATGCTAAAAAAAAGCACATAGGAGGGTTAGTCATGTAGGGCCATGTGATCAGTAGTCTGCACTGGCACACTTTGGATTTGAATGGGTACAATACGTTCTTAGAATAAGCCTGCGGTATCCGCACACCACATTTCAGTATATATAACAACTGTACACAGGCAGAATCTATAATACAAGGGTTATTTACACGTACGGGTGATAATAATAAAATATTATACAACGATCATACAGTCATATCTAAGCCACTAGCACCACTGGCAAGAAGAGCATCAAGTCAAGGTTAGCATTGACTAATGTCTTTGTCAGTATAAATAACTTTTAATTCACTAGACTCGTGTTATTCAGGTCTTGAAGTAAAACTTACTGTGCAGAAAGGTTCCTCTAAAGTATTCCGAAAACCATCTGGGCCATCTTATAGCCTCCAAATACCGTGTATGAACTCCAGTGCTGGTGTCAGAGACAATGAAACGCTATGAAGCCCGAAAAGCCCGCTTTATGCCCGAAACGCTTTGCGTAATAGTGGCTTTAGGCATTGTATGTACTAGCCCTATCTATAAATCCATCACTCTTTGTAAAATCTCTTGTATGTATGTACGTTACCTAAATAAACATTTGATTTTGACATTTGATTTTGATTTGAATGAGGTGATTCGAACCAACGATTAGGGAACTCCCAGTCGTGCACCTCACCCCTGTAACACGACATGGTATAATTTCTACAACCTGGGATTCCACTGACTCCACAGGAAGCCCGGGGGCTTCTACTGAAGCCAGTTCAGGTTTGCCATATAACCCGCAAGCACTGTGGTGTAGATAAAGTATTTCATTAGCCCTTACTGCCTTCAGCTTCACATACACGAAGAAATTAGGTTAAATCGACCTATATCAATGAGAAAATCAATTGGGGCAATCGATTCCCGGGAGGGACACAAATGGTTTGGAACGTTTCCTTTCACCTAATGCCGCTGTTCACCTACCAGTAACTAGGTACCCCTGAAGTTGGGCAACTTTCTTTTTAACAAGCTTAGGTATTCACAGCAATGTGCTGCTACCCTATTCTATATGAAAGATTATAGACTAGATAAAAAACTATATAATTTCCTCTATTATCCTCATCTCACAGGATGGTGAGTTATACATGGAATCAGGAGAGAGAATGAAATGCGGAGCTGGTCTATTAGCCTCCACTAGCGAAATCTGGGTACAGCACAAGAATATCTTCCAATATTCGTGAGTGTATGAAGTAATTACCGAGCTCAAGATACCTCATACCATTTAGTCTGAAATCATTGATTACAGGGCAAACACCATTGGGGGATTCATTACCTGTAGCCATCTGCCATAGATATCGATATTCCAGCTTAATTATGGCAATTACAATGTCACACTGTCTAGTGGATGTTTGTTGTTGACCTGTTGACATCTGAGCAGAACAGCATAAGTATAGTGCTCATGAGACCGTAACTTATTTATAAAGGAATCAATAATACCTGTAACTACCTGTTGATAATCCTCAAATTTTACTGTAATGTACCTTTGTCAAATTTTCTTACAGTGTACCTGTTAACATTTCTCAAGTTTGCTAGAAATTACCTACTTAAAATTATCTGTTAGATTAAGGACCTGCTCGAAACGCTATGCGTGTTAGTGGCTTTACAAGAATGTAAAAACATATATGCTATGTACTCTCATGCACCCAATGTACCTTTTTGTATATATAAAAATAAATAAATAAATAAATAGTTTCAAATGTGGGGTGCATCCTGTGGAGGGCCAGTAGCTCGACCTTGGGGCAGACCTCGATACATGTCTATCTCTATATACATAGGCTACCTGTCCCCCAATAAAACTAATTAAATCATTGCAGATTCTTATGCAATACCTCAACTTATTTTGAAAACTTGCTCGACACCCTACGCATTTTAGGGTGTTTTTTGAAAATGTACCATTCACAACTCAAAGTACAAAACCCATTGTAAGTTGGGTAAATATGTAAACAAATATATAATACAAAATAAATGAGATATCCTCTGAGTACGTACTAGGAATTCCATTTTCTTTCATGACCTGTGACGGAATGAGTTAATATATTATTTAAGCGACTTTATTTAAATCCAGTTTATGCTGTATCACATAATTTTAATGACATAAAACACATATGTACATAATTTTGTATTTCACGGGTAAATTTAAATCAAGTTAAATATACCGTATTATTGTAATTTTACGTAAACCTTAAGAGAGTGCATAAAGTATATGGAAATTATAATAGAACACGGAGTTAAGATGAGTATTGACTCGACGGCCTCCACCCCCTCATAGCGTCAAGTTTGATAAAAGATTACTCAATATATGTCTTTATCTCGGTAGCCTGTGTGGTGTCTGCCACGACGCTCTGACTGTAGGTATGCTAATTGGCTGGTGAACTAGCAGTACTTCAGCTAGAGTGGTTATAATGCATGATATTGTAGACATTAAAGTGATTGATTATGTAGTTACCAAGGTTACAAGTCACATGAACTCAAGACAGTTTGCTAGCTGATGTTAAAACCTTTCTTACTACCCAACTCAACCCAACCCAGCCTAACAGCTGGGATGTTTTGGGGTCTTCCCCCAAGTCATAAACCAACCTGAACTAACTCACCCTAACAGCTTAACATCATAATATTTAAGAATTCATTTTGTTGGAGATCTTCCACAGAATTCAACCCCACAACAGTTAACTTCTGGGTACCTATTTACTGTAAGGTGAATACAGTAAATAGAGCTGGTAGAGGACCGGGCCTCCTGGTTATGCCGCTGCTCACAGCCTGACGTATGAATCACAGCCTCGTATGGGGTGGGAGGATATTGCCTCCTGTTTTGGTTTCCGTCCCAGGAAATGGTTTGGTATTGTGCATATAGCCTAGGTTTATTGTTCCCCCCCTTATCTCAATAACAACCTCTACCAATACTTTGCTAACCTGGACCCCATCTAACCAAACCAAACCTAATCCAACCTAGCCAGATAAAGCCTAACTAACCTAATGCAGCAACCTATCCATACATAATCTAACCCATCATATCTTTAAAGAACCTAAGAAAATATACTTTAACCTAACCTAACATAATTGTCTAATCTAACCCAACATAACCTTATATAAAACAGCATAACCCAAAATAACATACTGTACTGTATTATGATGGAGCTTAACACAGTCTAAGCTAATCCAACATAACACAGCATTACCTTTTCTACCCTAACCAGTCTTTAGCTAATGTAGTGTGAGTTCCAAAAATAAAACTATTATATACTACAATCATTGATAAAGTACAATCACTGTAATGTAGTGCAATCCCTGTAATATAGCCTATGTCTGAACTCTGTAAATCAAATCAAAATCAAATCAAATGTTTATTTAGGTAAGGTACATACATACAAGAGATTTTACAAAGAGTGATGGATTTATAGATAGGGCTAGTACATACAATGCCTAAAGCCACTATTACGCAAAGCGTGTAATATAACTACAGTATTGTATGATCTTCTAAACTGAAACATAGTTTTACATGCTTACCCAAATTCAGTTTCATTTTTATGTACTTACCTCAGTGTTCTTATGCAGTGTGGATTTAGAAGTAACAAATAATTTGATTTTCAAGCAAAATAATTAAGTACCATAAATATAGCTCACCTATTGAAATATAATTTGTGAAGGGTATATTTACAAATATAATTGAAATGTTTAACAAAAAATAGGAATTGTGTTGTCAACATTGCCAAATATTGTACCCATTAGCATTGTAGCACTTGATCATTAATTAATGGGGAAGATTCCATTACAAAATAAATGGGGGGAGTCTCCACAAATGAAGGGACCTTTGATAAGTTGCTAGTTTCCTGTCCTCGTTGAGGCCACTAGAGTGCTATTGGCCCTCGGGTAAATTCAGGTAACATAACTCAACAAATTTTCTGAAGCATTCAGCCTTTAGTTCTCATATTATTTTTGGAAGTAATAAATCCATGCTTGTACTCACCTTTTACAATACTTTCTTCTTATTTATAGATCTGACAAAGGAAAACAGCAATGAGTAAATCCAGGACAATAGTGCCTCAAAATTCAACAGATCGTATGCTCTTTACCTTTATGGTAATTGGCATACCCTTTGCAGTAGTATGGTTAGGTTGTGTAGTGTTACCACACTACCATGACAGCATCAATGCCACAGTAGTGCTGCACATCTTATCCGCTTTATTCATTCTCTACAATATCTTCCACAATATACTACTTGTCATTAGAACGGATGCAAGTGGTCGCACCTCTTATTTACCTTCAGTCCTTAAACCAGGTAAGTAAATTGATAAGAATTACTCATATTCTCTCATTATTCTTTTTTTGGATGTTAGTTTTGTCACTGTAATACAGTATAAAAAAACTTGTTACCCAAAAACATGTAAATTAAAAGTACAGTAATAAGTATACAGGTATATTAATAATTGATATACAGTACAGTACAGTACATATTTTGCAGTTAGAATTTTTGCGATCATATCTGACTACCAATACATGTAATACAGTTAAGCATCCAAAACTCATAAACCTGAAATCCAACAGTCAGGACTTCAAAAGGATTTAAAAAATTACTCTTTTTACCACAAATAAAAATTTCCAAAGCAGTTATTAGGCGAGTACTCCACATATACTGCCATGTAAGGTGGCACCTCATGAAATGTTAGGCATTAGTTACTCATTCTAAATTGGCACCATAAATCCATATTAGTTTGAAAATTCAAGTGCATTTATTACATAAATAATCATCAAAATCTCTTGGCTTTTATGCTGGAAGTGCATACAGCAGGAGTTTACAGAAAGTATGCATACTGCAGTGCTATATTAATAGACCATCTCACTTTAGAATTATTTAATTTATTATTATAAGCTTTATATTTTTTATTTTTGTTTTACAATGAAATAGCAATGATAATTGGTTTAGTAAAATATTGAACAGTATTTGCGGTGTTAAACATTTGCCAGTTTTTTTAGGGAAGGTGATCACTGATGTCAGTACCCACTTGCTCCACCACCACCACCACCACCTCCACCACCACCACCTCCACCACCACCACCTTATGTGGTGGTGGTGGTGGCCATTGCCCAGTAGAGGAAATGGCCTCAAGCTGTAAAAACTGACAGCTGGTCTCTTGGCCTGCTGGAATGCATGTGATAATCTTTCCAAGCATAGCTTATTTTAGTTTAAATCTTTCTATTGAATTTAATTATGTATTTAAAAATTTAAAACAATAATTAATGGAAATTCTTTAAATGTTTATGATGTTCTTAATACAGAATCGAGAACATAGAAATGAAAGGCATTATCCCTCGCCACTCGGAACAAGGAGTTAACTGTACTCACTTGTTTGTTAATGTTTTTATTTTGTAAACATCATTAAATAGTATGTACAGTATGTACAGTATGTACAGCAGCTTCTCATTGGATGGTCCCTATAACATTTTTATTAGGCTTATAGCACAACAGTATTACTGCACTTACATTTTCATATATCATCTCCAATACTCCATCTACACTGCAGAAACATGTGTCCAAGGACATTCCTTCCACAGGATGGAGATATTGTGCAATCTGTCAAGTGAACTATCCTCCAAGATCTTACCATTGCCACATATGTGATGAATGTATTCTCAAGAGAGACCACCACTGCAAATTTACAGGTACTGTAATGTTAGATTTCGAATTGCAGCCTACTCATTGCCATATACTGTAGAAAAGTGTATGTTATCATGTCAGACTAGCAAGTTGTATATACTGTGTGTGTACTTTTGTTGGGGGTTGTACTTTAAAGGAATCACAAGTGATAATGTAAGGTCTGTATACTTCTAATTATTGCACTATTTTATGCTTTACATTATTCTTAGCAGTTGTATTAGTAGGGAGGCCTTATTTGTTTGCTTTGTAATTTTCTGCCACTTCGTCTTTAGACGTTATCCTAAAAAACGTCTTTTGTGTTCATTTGCAATTTTGTGTACCGGGGTAGTCATAGAATGAAGATTCTTATTGAAATTTGTTGTTGTATCCCTCTTGTAGCCATTGTTGTTACAGTTTTTGTCGTTTCTGAATTTCTCCAGCCTGTTCTTTCAGATCAGTTCCATTGTTTACAGTAGTGACTTGGCTTTCTCAGTGGCAGCACAGCACTTAATGGCTAGGTGGATTACCACAAATGGGCACCACCTTAAGTTGGGTGTAAAAACCACTCTGGTGTGATAGGTCTAACTACTCAACAGCATGCAACTTAGTTGAAGCTTCCCAGAGGTACTTAGGTCCAGAAAGACTGATCCTTGGCTCAAAGGGGTGGCATTGTATTATCACAATGGAGTACTGTTCAATAATACATTGTTATCGGTTTCCACTAAATAGCATTGAATTTGTTATTAATTGCATTCATTGTGATTTCCTTTTTAATTCCACTTGAAAAGCAGCCATATTGCTGTTCTTGCTAATTTTGCAGATTTGAATATGCAGTATACAGTAGAGTGCACTATAAATGTGATATTATGTTCCTCTTTGAGACTTTAAGGCTGACCACTCTACACCTCATAGGTCTTAAAGGTTAAGAAATAATTCTTAAAATATGTTGAAGACTATTAAATACTGGCTATAATATACTGTAATAATAATTAAAACAATAATAATAATTTATAAAAAGTACAAAATAATGGAGTACAGTGTTTTACTTTCAGAATACAAATCTATCTTGTTACTGTACTTGATTGTATTTCAGACTTTATTTACCTCTTAATTCTTTTTCAATAATATATCCAAACAGCATTGAGCTTTATTATTTTATTCTTTATCTCTTAATTTGTAGGTTTATGCTTTCTTTTTATTCATTTAAATATATTATAAAACTTTTCCTTTTACAGGGTGCTGTATTGGCTACCACAACCATCGTTACTTTTTGATTGGAATTCTGTATGTATTTGTAGGAGCACTTTATGGCATTTATTATCAATGGGACTATGTCTATAGCACTATTAACCTGCCAGTTATGTACTTCTTTATGACTCTTTTAGTACCTCACTTTGCTCTTCTCTTTGGTGCAATAAGCTTGTGGGGCGTTCTTGTGGCTACACTTCATACCTTGGGCCTTCTTACACTCTCAATGGTGTCATACCTACTTCTTACACAAGTGAAGGCCATTTGCCTTGGTCAAACCCAGTACGAGATGAAGCATGGCATTCACGATTATAACCTCAGTCTTTACCAAAATTTGGTTGATGTCTTGGGAAGGAGGTGGAAAATAGCATGGGTATCTCCTTTTATTAGTTCTCCTCTCAAGGGAGATGGAATCAATTTCCTGAAAGCTAATGAGTATGAGCCTCCTAAAGATATTTAATATTATTCGATAGTACTTGTAAGGTAATATGCAGTCACTTCTCCAGCCCATAAATTTGTGAAGGTGATGAACATCAATGTAAATGTTGAACTGCTAAATGAATTAACTAGTGAAGATAGTAATTAGAAAATTGGTAATGATGGTTGTACAAACAATCCTAGAGTATATGTGTGGCCTTTGTGTGTCCAGTTGTAGTGTTATTTATAGTGATAACTTTAGTTAAAAGCGAGACTATATGTTCTTCCAAGAGTTGGTGGTTGTTATATTAAAAAGAGCACTTGTATTGTTGGATAATTTTGATCTATTGGCAGGCATATCTGTCATTGACCTGTCATTTAGACAGGTCATTGATAAAGTCTTGTACTTCCAGTAGCATTCCTTTGTGGCCTTGTAATCAATTTTATCAGATGCAGTCCATGAACTGTTAGAAACAACTGTGCTTCCAGTGGACAATTCTGACCATTATAATTCAGTAAAACTTGCAGCATTCATCTTCGTGATAAGGCTTGTACAAAGTTTTGATACTTCTTATTTCTTCGTCGCCATTTTATATTTTTGTTTATATATCATAGGCGCATTTAATTTATTTTAATTTGTGTATGTTTCTTTGTGTGGTTTGTGTGTGTGTGTGGTTTGTGTTTACTTATCTAATTCTAATTACTTAAGTGTAATTGTGGGATGAGAGCTATGCTTATGGTGCCCAGTTTTCCAATAGGTACTTGTTGTCATATGTTGGTTTGAAACTACTGATAGTTTTTGGCATCCACCGCCTTCTCACCTAACTTGTTCCAACCATATACAACTCTTTCACAAAAAGATAAATTTATTATATTTTCTGTTGGGAGCCCCAACGGCTCCCTGGAGCTATCTCACTGATATTAGCTATATTAATCTGGGTTTCAGGCGATTACAGTTCAGCCAACCAGGGACCACGAACCAGAACCTGTCCCCCTCAGAGAGGCGCAGGAAACAATGACCTAAGGAAAACCCCACTGTTTTTGGAGGTATTTTAATCTGCCATTGACTGTGGTTCGGCACTCAGAAAGATAGGTGTCCCAAAACAAACCCCATCTGGTAGAAATTGCAACCCAAGAATGAACAGAGACCCAGAACTCCCTTTAAAAGAAACAAAGAAACAAGCAAATATCATCAGCCCGGCATGCCATTTGTTCGTGCAGCTCCCCTTTCCCAGAATGGTGATGGGGAAAGCCCCAGACCCCTGCCCCAGCGGCAGGGGTCTGGGGATCTCCAGTTCGTAGACTGAAGCCAGCTGGGTTGGTTGTAGACTCTTGCCTCAGTTTTCCTGCTAGGAATTTGTGCCCTAGTGGTGTTTCCTGCTGAGTGTGGTGCAGTGGCCAGTAGAAATAAAAGTGCTGGGGCTGCATGCGCTTTGGGTTCTCTTCCCCGAGTGTCCTGTAAGTACTGCCCTTGGGTTCCAGGGTTATCTTCCCTGGGGCCTTCAGGAGCGCACTCCTGTAGGGGTTACTGCTGCTTGGCATTGACTGCGCCCTAAGGGTCAGCTGGGGTCTTGTGGCCTTTGTTTTGCCCCTGGATAGGAAATGTTTTTGTTGATGGTTGGGGTGCATGGTGCTGTGCAACTCGTCTACCTAGCAGCGGCCGTGTTTACTGTCCCTCTGTTGTTGCTGTGCTTTTGCGGGGGGTTTTCTTTTTGTTTCCTCTTGCCTGGAGGGGCTCTGCCTGGCTTGATTATTTGTCTGCTTAGGGTTATTTGGGTGCCCTCCCCACACTTTAGGGCCCCCATGCTTGTACACTTCACAAGGGTTCAGTTTGCCCAGTTGAATGGTGTTTCATTACATTCAATGCTGGTTTTCAGCACCTTTATTTCCTTAGCTTGAATTTATGACCTATTGTTCTTGAAGTTGCAGGTTTAAAAAATTCCATCTTGTTTATCAATTTTTGCTACTACAGTATTTTGTATGTAGTGATCATATTGCATTTTTTTTTACTTCTATCTTCCAGCCTTCGTATGTTTAATGCCTTCAGCCTCACTTCATCACTTGTGTTCCTAAGTACCAGGAGACATTTAGTATTATATTTTTGCAGTTTCTAATTTGTTTATGTGCTTCATAAGTTATGAATACTACACTACTGGTGCACATTCCAGTTTCACATACTGTGTGAATATTTTCTTTAATATTTCTCCATCTATATACTTAAACTTGGTTCGGAAATTTGCTAGTATGCTGTTGGTTCCTCTCACAATGCCCTTTATACGGTCCTCTGGTGACAGCTTACAATCCAGAACTACTCCTAGATCTCTTTCCTTGCCAGAAATTTTTAATATCTCTTCACATAATTTATATGTTAAGTGTGGCCTTTTTTCCCCCTATTCTGCATTCAATTATGTGACATTTATTTTGAATTCCATCTGCCATGTGTTGTTTTCATAGGTCAGTGCAGTCATCTAAGTCCCTGACTCTGCCTAGGTATTTTGCATCATCTACAAACATATTCATGTAATTCTGCTTTCCCTTTGGTAATTAATTTATATAGATTACTGGTGCAAGAACTGAACCTTGTGTTACTTTGCTAGTGACATTTCTCTAATCAGATACATTTTTTCTTATCACTATGTTCATTTGTCTCATCATTAGATGTTCATTTGTCATCATCATTAGATGTCAAATGAACATCATCTAAATATGGATGTTTGGAAGATAATCTGTAGTAGGGTGCTAATCTTGGATGTACATTCCCTTAGTACCCAAGATGAGACTCCATCTGTTTTAACTACAGTAATTTACTTTTAACTGTCTGGCTTCTTGAGCCGTTTTCTGCTTCTCCTCTAGACATTTCTGTATACTCCAATTTACATTTGAAAGTTGATATTGAGGCTGGTTTGTACAAAATCTCACCCTACTCAAACACACTTTTGGAGCCGTTTGTTTAGTGTTTTGCACATTACCTTTTCAGTTTCTCTGAATCTATCCCCCATTTGTATTCTTTAAATTTTTTCTTTCACTTGCAATTTGCTCTTATGAATTTATAGAATAGGCCAGGTTCTTTTTTACATTCGTTTGATATTCCCTTCTTAAAGCTTCTTTTTTCTCACTGCTGTGTAGTTCTTTCTATGAATTAGAAACACAAAAAGTTAGAGGTGACAGGATTGAAGTGTATAAGTGAATGAATAGGACATTCACTCCTATTCATAAAATAGGACGTAAAACAATGTATATAAATTGGATAAGTTTAGCTTTATGAAAGACCTGGGTAAATACTGGTTTGGAAACAGGGTTGTTGATTTGTGGAACAGATTGTCAGGTAACATAATCAACATGGGATCACTTGATTGTTTCCAGTGTAGGTTAAACATATAAATGAATGAGTTTTGGTGGGTATAAATGGGAGCTGCCATGTATGGACCAATAGGCCTTCTGCAGTTAGCTTAATTTTTATGTTCTTAGGTTCCTCATTCCTGGTAAATATTAGGTCCAGTATTGATGGAACATTTTCTTCCCTCATTCTCATTGGTTGTTTAAGATGCTGGTACTTGAATGCCTCCAGGAAGAGGTTCATGAATCTGTCAGTCCAGAAGTCTTCTGTCATTGTATCATAGGTGTCCTAAGTCTATTGTTTTTATATTAAAGTTTCCAAGTATCATCAACTGTGCTTTATCTGCTTTTGTTATTACTGTTCAAATTCATTATAAGACCCTCTCATTTGTTGTCTATTTCTATATGAGTGTACTCACCTAATTGTGCTTGCGGGGGTTGAGCTTTGGCTCTTTGGTCCCGAAAGCCAAAGGTCCTGAGTGTGTTTTTGTGAGTGTGTGTGTGTGAATAAGAAAAAAATTCATGGTATAGTTGTGATCTTTTTACATCCTCAAACCAATACACTTTAAATTTTGCTATAATTAGTGAGGTCAAGCTATGACTTAACATTGTTTAACAAATGACTTAACATTTACATTAACTTGACATTAAGTTTTTTTAACAGTGACTTAACACTACTGTATTAACAAACTGCATGAATGCCCTTTTATGAATATGGAAAATATGATAACTGATAGATGTAGTATATTGGCTGCTCATATTGTCTGTTATATTTGTGTAGCTACGTCACCAGCCTACTGAGAATCTGTACATGAACTGTTTCCGACTATGTTTATATCTTTGAAACACATTATAATGAGAGTGTATTGAAATTTGAGAGTATTTTGGGCTTTCACAAGGAATCTTCATTGACTTATCACATTTATAGGGATTTTCCACAAATAATTGCCCTAGAATTTCTTATTGATAATCACTACCTTGCGACAATTTCGTGGCTCAATGTCCCCGCGACTCAGTCCTTGACCCAGGCCTCCTAATTTAAATTTTCTGCATAAAAATCATATCTTTGCATTTAAAAGAATTATTGTTTTTTCCTGATCTCTTATATATTTTACCCTGGGAACATTAGTGACTCCCATGTACAAACCCTCTCCCCCCTTCCCAAGACTTTGTCTTTACATATTTTATTCTCATAAAATGAAGCATTGCTACTTGTTTATGCTGAGAAACAATAAGATAATAAGAATGACAATTGCAACAACAAACACTTCTGAGAGAGAAATGGGAGACAATATTCTTTGCTAGGGCAGCATAGTGGATTCATCTCTCATTAATGCTCCACAAATAATCACCTCTTACAATTCCTTGCAAACAATAATTTTTGGAAATTTTCCCATACAATATATACTTTACTCTAATCCTTTTGGAAAATTCTCCACAAATGCCGATCTTAGAATTGCATAAAAAAATGATCTGGTAAGATTCACCTTATACACTAAAGTATACTATATTCAACTTATACAATTCTCCACAAGTATTTATCTTTTAGAATTTCCACGCTTATCACTCTCATTTCCTTTGCACCTGCTGGCACTGCTCTAAAAATAACTGTGGGGGTTTCACACTTTGCTTTGCTTAACCGTGAATGTTCTACCTCTCTCCAATTGTAATAATAGGCATAGTAAACAATCCTTATTTAATTTATTTATTACACATTTTGTTCAGGATATTAATGTTCCAAGTGTTGGGAACACGAATTCTTCAGTCATCTTTCCAAATCTTAATTTTTGGAGTTTTACTGTAGCCTTAAATATTGAATGTAATATTAAATTCTCAGCATGTCTTCACATACTGGTCTAATTACAGTATTCATTTTTATATATATTTGTGTGTGTATCTTGAAACAATTGTTGTAGTAGAAGACTTTACTGTATTGCTCATAAGAACTAATTTTTCATTCTTATTAGCATACTCTATAAAGCTCAACAAAAGCTCATTATTTTTACTGACTGAGAAGTCATGCATAACACAGTATTATTGTTGTTCAAATCAAACAGTTATGATATGCACAGTAATATATTTAGCAGATTACATGGTAGAGAACAAATGCGCCCAGCCACTCATAATTAACGGTCAACAAGTTGTGACCAAATAAATAGTTTTATAGTTAAATGTCATACAAAATATGACAAAGAGGTAGCATTATATTTTATATAAATGTTATATAGTATTTAACAGGAATGAGAAGCAATATAATCTTTTAAATTCTCTATATTGTTCAAATTCTTTATATTGCTTCTAAGGTGAGCTGGAGCATTTGTATTCTCTATAGCAGTGATGGAAGAGTATTAAGGTGAACACTTCTTATTGGCGCACTTGTTTTGCACTATTAGATAAGGAACAGAGGAGAGTTAAGAGATGCCTAGTCAATCTTTTCTTTCAACAGTAGCAGGGAATAGATGCCATCTTACAGTGGGATCCTTGTATTAACTTCAGAATAATAATTTTGTTTAAAGTTGGGTAGGCTGAAGTCATAGAAATAGTTTTTGTAGCCATTTCACTGGACTGATCACACTGTTATGACCCAATGAAAATAATTATCAGTGACCCTTCATAATTACAATTTTGCCAAGTGCCTTGAGGGGGGAGGGAAAGGGGGATTTTACTCCTTATACAGTTTGATCAAATGGCTGATGTTCAAAGCAGGAGTTTGGATCCAATACATGTTATCTGTTGGCTTCAGAAGCAAGCATTGCCCTATTGAGCAAGTAGTTCAGAGAGAGCCAAGAACAGCTCCCACACACCACCACCTCGCATCTGTCTATAATTTATTGTGCATAAGGTATGTTAAGTTGCTTTATACATTGTATAATGTGAAATACATAAAAATTGACTTACAAGCTCGATGGTCATTAACAAAAATGTATTTGCGTGTAAATGTTTATTTTTCTTGATCAAACCTCGGTCACCATTATTTACAATAGTGCTGTATAATGAATATTGGTAAATATGACTATTATTTTTCTTGTTATAAAATCTAGGTAAACAGTTTTTGACTGTACAGTAATTAGAAATTAATATTAATACAATTATTTAGTTAATGTTATTAGTTTTATGATAATATTATATGCATTGGGGGTACTTATGACCTGGCATTGAATTACAGTACAGTACTTGAACAGTAATTTTAATAAAGTACAGTACAGTAGTCCTAAGAAAAAACAATTTTTTTAACTATGAAAAAGTATTTTTAATTGTATGAAATAATGGAAAGAGCAAGAGTTTTTCTTAATATAAAAGCAAAACTAATTTTTACTTCAGTTTCTATCATGTGTAGTAAACAAAGTGAAAATATAATGTCGCTATGAAAGAGCCAAGACGACTTGCTGATCCGAGACTCGAAGTAGACAGTAGATTACTCCAGGTTGGATGTGAATATAATTGTCTTCTTTATCCTAGATGACTTTACACGACACAAACTATGCAGAGAACAGGTTGATTTACATGTGAACAAACATCACAAAGAAACTTTGTTTTGATTAGTGTTGCTATTGTTTGCATATTACAGTTTATTATTAATTATAATTTGATTTACTTTAAAGTGAATAACCTTTGGTTCTAGCAGTGGCTCATAGGCCTAAATCCTTTCCTAATATTGACAAACTGTAGAATAATTTTTGCATGCATGCATGGGAAATAAATTAGAAATTTAGGGTTTTGTATTTTCTCGTCAATATTCCTTATCCATTTACTCAAAACGGATATTTCATGTATTAATAGTAACTGTACTCAGTAATGTGCATGTTAAATGCCTGTGTGGAAAACAAGCATGGCAATCTAGCATGTTTAGTGTACATGTTCATTGAAGCAAATATCAATTTTATGCATGAATTACACAAAATAATGATGTATTGATCAGAACTATAATGCAGTGTTCTCCTCCCACCATGAGTATTGTGCAGTACCATCTCCCAGTGTCCTCCTCCCACCATGAGTATTGTGCAGTACCATCACCCAGTGTCCTCCTCCCACAATGAGTATTGTGCAGTACCATCTCCCAGTGTCCTCCTCCCATGAGTATTGTGCAGTACCATCACCCAGTGTCCTCCTCCCACCATGAGTATTGTGCTGTACCATCACCCAGTGTCCTCCCACCATGAGTATTGTGCAGTACCATCACCCAGTGTCCTCCTCCCACCATGAGTATTGTGCAGTATCATCACCCAGTGTCCTCCTCCCATGAGTATTGTGCAGTACCATCACCCAGTGTCCTCCTCCCACCATGAGTATTGTACAGTACCATCACCCAGTGTCCTCCCACCATGAGTGTTGTACAGTTCCATCACCCAGTGTCCTCCCACCATGAGTATTGTGCAGTACCATCTCCCAGTGTCCTCCCACCATGAGTATTGTGCAGTACCGTCTCCCAGTGCTCACCTCCCACCATGAGACGTTAGTCGTCATGGTTGCAGTACTTGCTGTAGAGTATTTAGACTATTAGATATTATTATGATTGAAGAGAGCACAAATGGCTAACAGCAGTACATTAAAGAGAAACACTAAAAATAAGATTAAATCTTATTTGTAGATGGCTTTATGAGCTCTTTATAGTGTCTTACAATATTACACTTAAACTGAAGCCTTTAGTAATTCTTGTTTTTAACCTGAAAATAAACAAACAGATTAATCAGTTTTTTAGCTAAAACATTTACATTAACTAGTCTTTATTCATAATCTTATCCATCATTATTTACTTTTATTGACATAAACCAAACAGTTAGTTCTTTTTGGAAAAGGTTAAATCAAGCATTATTGTTTTAAGCACAAATCTAATGTCAAAACAATTCTTTGTATAATCAAAAGTCTTTCTTCTTAATTTAATTGCAAGTGTTGATCAAGATTAATGAACTTGGTTATTCTCTTAGGCAATGCCCCACTCTCACATGGACCTGCCAAGTCAGTCCAGCCTTCACTTCCTTGTCAGGTCCTTCACTTTCTGATAGTGAGGACCTTCTAAGTGCATGCCAGCCAGGCCATGTATGGAGGAAGGTAGGAACTAGAGAACTTTCATTCTAGTTCAGCATGGAATGACCTCCAGAAAGTTCAGTAATCTTCTCTGAAATGTCTGTGCTAGTACAGTAGTCTCAATTCTTGGCTGTGATTGGACTCTTGCACCTTCTTCTCTTTTATGATGATATGGAGTTCCTGGTTTAGGTCACCTTGTGAGAAATGCCCAGGAACAGAGGGAACTGCTTGTTATTCACTATCATTTGTTTTGGCTTCCCCTTAGGAGGGTGTTTAGAGTTTTAAGTCTTGCCGAGTTTGTTAGCTTCAACTCACATAAGAGGGTTGCCACTTTTTCCTTACCAGGAAGAGTTGACAACCCCCTTGAGAGCAATAAAGTGTTTCCACTGGTTTGCGGTAGGATGGTGTTCATGGGCGAGGCTCTTCAGCTAGCTCTTTCTCTGTGGTGAAGGATGAGGCTTGGTTTAATGTATTGATAAGAGTATTTGATTTGGCTTCCCTTTGGTTCTTCTTCGGCTTTGGTGAACATGACTGACTGTTCATACCTCCTGATTTGGAAACTATTTTTGCTCCTTCCTCAGTCTGAGTGTGAAGCCCCTTTCTGCTCACCTCACATTCATGTACTCTCTGAAAAGGAGATAATATTAGTACTGTGCATGGAAAATACTCAAAGATCATGTCCCAAACATACACAATAAAATAGCTTATTGGAAGGGTAGAAAACCCATACCAATGAATGCTCATTGTATAGTAGAAAATGCAGAATAGATCCAGTGATGAGTAAATAGACCTAGTAGAGGTGCCATGTTGAAATTTAAAGAGGAGTTTTGAAAAGTTTACACAAGTTGTGCTGAATCAGACAAGTTGTAATGGATGTGAACCTGCAAACTGCTGTTAGCAACAGCCTTTCTGATCAACACAAGATGGCCGAAACACTATGCGTGTTAGTGGCTTTGCACGAATATAAAAATACCAATCTTGTGTAATTTCACCAACCCATTGTACCTTCTTGCAAATAAATTATTATTATTATTATTAGAGATCAGACAAGTCTAGCCCCTAGCAGGACTTGGAAAGTAGTAGAACTCTCAAAATCATCTACAGCTGTACAGGAGGGTGCTGTTATTTTGATGATACACAAGTTTCATCACTTATTTCCCTGTTGCATAGGCATGGTGGGATTTGTTGTTCTTCCTATCACGGAACTGGATCTAGCTCCACTTAAATTTAGTTCTTCTCACCTCCTGGATATATTATCAAATTCCCAATTCTTCCCAGGTGGTGAACACACACTTATTTTTCCATGGGATAGTTTAGATTGTTCTGCAAATCCCAGGCATTTGATTGAGGCTTTTCCCCATCTGTAATATCACTTTGAATACTTCAGTGTCACTGTGGGAGGTTGCTGGCACTGTTACTGTTCTGGCAGCTTCATATCCATATTACCCCATTTGTTGTGGTTAAATTCAAGGCTTGCTCTTGCTTGACAGAAGTTAAGTTGCTGCCTTGCTGGAAGATCTCAATTCTATTCCGAGTTAGCTCGGCTGAAAGGTTTGAATTTCTTGCGTGAATTTTCATTAGCTTCAGAGGCAACAGCAGCCATGAATAAGATGTCTGCACCAATAATTTGAGATTTGGTTGCTAACTTCTTCAATGCTTACATTTTCCTTATACATGCTGTAGTAGGTTAGGTTCGTTTCAGTAGCCTGGTTGGATGGATTTGCTGTTGCACTCTTCTCTCATTTCTGCCCTTCTTTTTCTTAGGGAGATGGGGTGGGGGTGCAGCATGTTCTGGAGGGTTCACATTTGTTCTGTCAGCTTTTGAACCTTATATTTTCACTGAAGCCTTACTGTATCTCCTTCCAACGGGAAGGAATTTCAGGCTTGGAGTGTTAAAAACTCCAAGAATCTTTCACTTGGTAGGGAGATTTGTTGTGCATATTCTTCAGTGGTGAGGCTGTATTCAAGCATTTTGGCTCTGATGACTGGATTAGCCTATTGCTGGGAACTCTTTTTAGGGCCACCATCCTCCGTCTCATCAGCCCTTTTGTCGTAAGTACAATTGATGTTATATTAGGGAGATATGTGCAAATTTTTTGGAAAGTCTGGGTCAACAATGCCTGGGTTTTGTTTTGCAGGTGGTTTCCATGGGACTTTCGGGCGTGTGGTACCCTTTTATGTCCTGGGCATTTCTTAGCTTCGGCCAGTAATACTTGGCAGCCTATTTGAAGCTATGTAGTTCTTAAAGAAGATATTTTGTGTAGATGAATATACCTTCTAGACCAGGGGCCAAATTCACAAAGCAGTTACGCAAGTACTTACAAACGTGTACATCTTTCCTCACTCTTTGATGGCTTTGGTTACATTTATTAAACAGTTTACAAGCATGAAAACTTCCCAATCAACTGTTATTGTTATAAACAGCCTCCTGGTGCTTCGGAGTTCATTAACTGTTTAATAATTGTAAACAAAGCCGCCAAAGATTGAGAAAAGATGTACAGGTTCGTAAGTGCTTGCATAACTGCTTCGTGAATCTGGCCCCAGGCAAGTCAAATTTAGGGTTCCCTACCCCCCTGAGGGCCATATGGATCACATTTATGTTATCATGAGGGCCACACACAACAACTAATTGAAGTCATTTAATAAAAATTATTGCAGAATATTTTTCTATTATATTAAATACCAAATTACAGTATCCTTTGTGCGGGCCACAGGTGTGCTTGCCAAAGACCGCATGCGGCCCACATGTCTGACATGAATGTTCTCGAGATCTTTCATTCTAGATTGAGAATTCTTCAGTGTCTCCTTTTTCCCCATTAATGGCCTGGAGTGGGTGGATTGTAAAAACACTCACTGCATAAAAATGTGATATTTGGATTGCCCGGTTTATACCGTGCTATATTCGTGTGAAAGTGGGTTATGTATAAGGAAGTGACCAAGTGACTTACTGAAGAGGGAGCTTTTCATTGACACTCAAGTCTTATTTTTGTGATTTCAAGGGACTTTGTTAGGATTTCACTGAGAGTACATCACACTGTTTTGAGTAATTTATTGCAAACTGCTGCACTGTAACTTGTAGCAAAAAAATGCCTATGTTTATACAACCAGTAAAATACATATTCATTCTTCTCCAAAATTAATAGTGTCCATCAAAGACTTGTTGACTTTGTCCTTAGAATAGTTGTGGACTAATCTGGAATTAAGATTGGTTTAAATAAATTGTTGATAACCATTGTATTTTTTTAATCCATGCTCTCTGAAAATTAAAAGGAAAAGAAAAGAACTTTTGCAGAATTATAAGGCCCCCTAGAGTCAACAATGATTGGAAATATAAGAATACATGTCCCTCCACTCCTTGTGGTTTCATAACAAACTTTACAAAAAGTTTAGGGATTGACATCAGACTTGGTGCAAATCCTGGCGCTGACAATGAATTTACGGGCTATTCATGCCCATGCCACCTCTTGAATAACTTAATCTTCATCAATCATCAATCGAGTAATCATCAGGGCAGAGAGGCTTGCCGGACGAGACAACCACCGTTTCGTCAGTGACCTGAACGCATTATACCTAGCCAATGGTCTGGAGCCCATCATGGCCCCTGGTGCAAGTCTCACTACTCTCCCTAATACAAAGAGGACTTCCACAAGGTCGGTCTCAACTCAGACCCCCAACTCCACTGAAGACCCAGGCTACACAAACAGCAGCTCCCTCCACTCCAGCTCCCTCCACTCCTACCATCACCATCTCGGCAGACACGCTAGCAGACGTGCTGTCTACAAATACTAACAGCACCACCAACACAACTGAAATAGCTTCTTCCACTATTACACAACACCTGAGCCTACCTCAGGCTGCGAGACGAAAGACAGAACCACCAACTATGAATGTTACAGACTCCTCGGACGAGGAAATCTTAGTAGGAGCTCCACTGCTAAAGTACAAATGCAACACCTACTTGGTACAAGACCACCTCATGGAGGCCACCTCGCCAATCTCCAACGACAGCATGGCTCAGCCAAAGAAAAAAACGGAAAGCCTAGAGGGCTACACTAACCCACCAGCTCCATGACTGGTACAGTCAACCCTCCAAGGCTGAAATCCACCATGAAGACCCCTATCCATCCATCCATCCACATATCTCTAGTATCAGCTGTCCGTACAGTTAATGGCTCGAAAGAGCCTTTACTTATGAGCCATTTATGCCCTTGCCATCTTTAGGGGTGGCTTAATCTTTATAAATCAATCGAGTAATCATCAGTATAATTTCCACAGTGGTTCAGTTAACTTCAGTACAGATGCTCGAGAGTTACCGCTTGAGACTGTAGCACTCTGCGTATTCAGTTCCAACCTACCCCAAGACACTTCACCTTCGACACAGCAGACAGCAAATTCCGACCGCATCGATAATGGACTAAAAAGATCTATTTCCCCCACCCAGCGTTACAACCAGAGGGTCAGTTATCAGTGTCTCTAAGGGAGAAAAGAGGCAAAGACAAATTTAAAACATAATGCAAAAAAAAAAAATAGCAATAAAGAAAGTTGATTTACAACTACATCAGGTGGAAAATAACTGGCAAGAAACAGGAAAACCCACGACCCATCTCGTCACTCCTCGCGGGCACGGCGGACTTCGCTATATAAGGTAATGATGTGGGTTTATCAGCCAGTTATCAAGAAGCTACTGCTTGAGACGCACAATTCTTACAGACTTTCTCGTGAGTAAACTGTTACTTTTTTGTTCCGGTAGTACAGCTTCGTTTGTTCTCTTACTCAGAACCGAGAATTCCGGGTTTGAATCCCGGGCGGGATAGAAATGGTTCGGTGTGTTTTCTATAATCTAATGCCCTGTTCACCTAGCAGTAATTAGGGAACCAGGAGTTAGTCAACTTCTGGGGTTGCATCCTGGGTCAAATTACTTTATAGTGTAAAATTCGGATAAAGTTACACTTCCAGAATTATTGTTTGTGCCAGGAACGGTCGAAAGTACTCAACAAACCTGGCCTATGATCGTATTGAAGGGTGGATGTTAAGTTAGTAGACGTCCCCACGAGCATAGCAAACTATATTTTGTACACACATTTTAGCCAGTTTAATAATGAGGGATGTTAAGAACCACCTCGCTAGACCGAGTGTATATACTCCAGTTTGTACACATTACTTGACTGTCAGTCTTTTAAGTGTCTTAGGGTATATTTATTATTTACTAGCTGTACCCGGCCTTGCGTTGTTGTGACTCAGCAATGCATGTGCATTGCTGAGCCACAGCAACCTTCCCTTGTCTCCCAGTCCTCCCATCCATTCCCCCCCTACCCCGTCCCCTCGTCCTCCCCACCGTTCCCCACTCCCTCGTCTGATGCATTCCCTAATAATCTAATGTTCCTATCACTGAAATATAAGAAAAAGTTAAAAAACGAAATGAGAATGAAAAAATAAAATAAACTATACTATATAAAATAAACTAATAAACTATAAAATCACAAAACACAAAGCTCACAAAAACAAGCACAAGCAGTACGGATGTTTATCCAGGAACTCCTGCGCCGGAAAGCGCAAGCAGTACGCTTCCCAAATCATCATGACTTCATCAGGCACCCGGCCACCAAGCGATGTGCAAGGCCGAGACATCAAATCCAGCGCCCCAGAAACAAACCCCTTAGCATGCGGCACCCCAATTGGTAGAAGAGCACCACGGGACCGGACGCACCTGGTCATCCCAAGAGTTCTAATGACTGACAATCCCCGGAGGCCGTAACAAGGGTCCCCACAGAAAAAAAAATCTCACTGGGGGAAACCGCAGGGGCATAAAGGATCCCACCACCGGGCACAGGAACCAAGGCCCCCGGCACACATCCTTCCTCAGCACCACGACGAGGTCTTGATCAGCGGGGGCAGCCTTCCACTGCGGGGAACCCCCTGCAGGAGAAGAAACAGAGGTTAACAAAGACATCGTCATCGGCGGCAGCAACAGGCATGTGAACCTCCGCCACCGCCGTCGTAGTCGACACGGCCGCCCCAGGGACCACATCACCGACACTCGCAAGCATCAAAATCGCCCACATCGGCCCGAGGAACGCCGCAAGCACTTGGGACCCGACCGCACATCTTGAGAGCCGGAGGCGGAACCAGAAGCACGGGAAGCGCAGGGGGCAGGCACACTGTCGCACGGCGCAAGACGTCAGCAGCCTCGACGACAGGGGGGACCGATCCCACCACAACACCTCCCAGCACAGCCGGGACAAGCAGCGGGGATGGAAAAACAGGATCCGCAGGACAAGGCAGAGGGTCAGGCGCTGCAGACGGTGAAGCTGAAGATGCAGAGCGAGCACTTGGGAGAACTACAGCAGGAGGACACCCAACCAAGGATGCCACAACCACTGGGGAACAAGCCCCACCAGGAGCAGGCGCACCGTCCGACACAGGGCGCAGCACCTCAGCCAAGGGCACGTCCACAAATTCATCCACTGGGTCATCCTCCACAGCTAATGGCGGGAAATCTTCCTCGCGAAAAAGATTCACTTTGGTGACAACTGCCAAGCAGACAGCAGCTAGGTGGCCCGACAAGCCACTGCGAAAACACGTGCGAGGCTGACGGGCATAATAGACCCGGATGTAATACCCCACGAGCCGCACCGAGGACGGGATACCCGACCACAGCCGCATCCCCAGAGTACGGATACTAGTCCGGACGCCCCTAAGCTTCCCGGAGGAAACCATATTGAGCCTCACACTCAAGACAGTACCAAACTGCCCAAAGTATTGCCGCAGTAGCTCCTCCGGTAATTCAAGGGGTGCACCTTGCACGCTGACAAAGGTGAGGGCCCCATTGCAGTCCGAGATGATCACTGTACCGGCAGCGTCTAGCAGGGGCAAGGACCATCCCTCATAATGATGTAGAAACGCCTTGTAATTGTCTTCAGGCGCAAACTTCACAATAGCTTGATGCAATGACACCAATTCCACGGCTGGGTAGTCGGCCCGTCCAGTAAATTCCAGACCCACCGAATGAGCCCGCAAAACGGAGGGGGTCCTTCTATCAAGCAACCTCAAATGACACGCGCCCACCAACCACCACGCACGCTGGGCAACTACTGTAGTACAGGCGGCCACCTCTGGTGGCGAAATCATGACACCACAGTTATTAACCCACAGTTATGGGTTATTAACACCATGTACGACACCATGGTGTTAATTATCCAACCCAAATATCAGACCCCATATACTAACTAGATGACGTGTACAAAGTGTGGACTGTTATACTCAAAGTTCATGTTGTGTACTTTAGGAATACTAAAAAGCTGTTTTTTTAGTTTTTTAGATTCAGCTACTGGGAACAAAAAGTTCCCAAGCAGCACGGGCTATGGTGAGCTCGTAGTGGACTTACCTGGCACAGGAGCGGGGCTGTGACAGAAGAGCATAACAAAAAGTGAAGCAGTAATAATAAATCTAATCTAACCTATCCTAGACTTATATAAACAAACCTAGGCCTAACATGTAATATTTGGGAGTGGTACGAGCAGTCGTGACAGCCAAGAAGAGATCCCGGGTTTGATGACTGCGGCAGGACTGAAGCGTTTGGATAATGTTTTCTTTCACCTCGTGCAATTGTTCACTAGCGGCAAATAGTACTTTGAAATTTGGCAACTGCTGTGGAATGCATCCTGGAGGTCAACAGTTTGTTCAGTACCCATATAAGCCTAACAGATTTTCAATTCCTTCTCCAAAATGAAGATTATAAAATGTGCACTTTTTTTGGTTGGGTGGGAGGAGGGTGCAACAATCCATATTGTGTACATTCCAGCCATCGTGTCTATAACAGGGCGATATCAATTCTAGATAACAATTGTTAACGTCCATGGAGCCATTAATACCTTTAATGACATGACTGCTTCACAGCTGTGGTTCAGACGAGTACCAGAATGATGCGTGGAGTTGGCGTGGCCCTGCTGGCATTACTTGCTCTCATTCACATGTAAGTTATAAACAATATTCTTGTTTACCTCCCCTCCCCCCCACCCCACCACACACACACACACACAAATCTCCTACAGCGTCTACTCAGCAAATCTAGAAGGTATAATAAATGAGGTAAGCATAGTATAAAAAAATTGGAAATACAAATTGTGAAATAAAGACGAATTAACTAAAAGTGGAAAATATTACATACAAGGTTTGGTGGCAGACACTCCTGACGGTAGTTTGGACAACCCGTCCTCTTAACAATAACGTCACTTTTGGCTCGTATGCGCACTATGGCCAAATTTGGACGTAATTTGAAATGAAATCGACTAAGTGACGTACTGTTCCGTTTTCTGTGAGTCGTCCGGCCCTCCTCAGACAGCTTAGAAGAGGAACTTTCAATTAACGTTTTTCATAAGGTTTTGAAACTTTACGAGCATTTCCTGCCCACCTAACCTATCAGAAGACCCTTAGCTTACTGTTGTTGAAAAAAAATCCCAAATTTATTTTCAATTTTTTTCATTTTCAAATTACGTCCATATTCGGGCAAACGGCCAAAAGCGACGTTCTTTTTAAGAGGACAGGTTGCGTTTGGAAACGTGTAAACAATGGAGGCGCGAGAGAGAGGGTTCAGCACCCCAGCAAGCCTGGAGGACCACCACCACTGGAGCCTCGGAGGACGAGGCCCTCCGTGTCTCTGGCTACACTGTACCCAACGTAAGGGATTAGTTAACTGACAACGTTGAGCCGACCATCTCGAAATGACAAACCGGACAAAAAGCAGAGCCCACGAAATTGAAATAAGTTTATTGAGGTAAAATACAGACAAAGGGATGAGGTAGCTCAAGCTATTCTCAACCCGTTCAGTACATCGTGTTAATACATACAGACACACATCACAAACAATAAACATATTACCGAACATTCTGAGAGATAAACATCTACATTTCCTTGCCCACGAAATGGTTTTCTGTTTTGGGGGGACAGAAAACCTGTTTGGCTTATTGAGGTCCACAGCTAGACCAGCTAATTACCTTCCTCAGCATGCGACCCACAAGTTACCAAACTCTCTGCTATCTATATAACAGCGGCATCAGGTGAAAGGAAATGCAGCCAAACGTTTATATCCATCGTGGGTATTGAATCCGAGACGTTTCGTTTGTAAACTGATTACCCTGACCACCAGACTACAGCTATGGCATATAGAATTACCCTCAGACGAGGAACACTAAGGTGCAGCAGATCATAAGTAGCCTAAGAGAACTAACGCAGCTGCTTGTCATGGGAGAACACACTGGGAGACCATGCATCACCCTGGGAGACAAAGGACTTTGTGGAAAAACTACTAGAGACAATGGAGAGGAGCCGTCATACTTAACATGTAAATAGGGACACTGAATCCCAGCTGGGACAGAAATGGTTGGGCACGTTTCCTTTCATCTAATGCTATGAACCTAGCAGAAAATAGGTGCCCAGGAGTTAGTCAACTGTTGTAGGGTTGTATCCTGGGGTAGGTCAGTAGTTCAACCTTAGAGGGACCCTCAATAAAAGCCAAAAGTATATATTATATACATATATGCTGGTTGTCCCCGACAAAACTAGTTAATTATTATGGAATATGAAGAAATGTCCCTGGCAATGAACTGTCACTGCGTGCTACCATCCTAATACACTGTATGTCTGTGAAAACTGAGAATGAGTAAAAGGACGGGAGACTCAGACTGGCATACTTGAAAAGGCATTATTAAAAATTTCAGGGAACTCCTACGAAGAACAGCATAGAAAAGGGACATAAAGAATAAATTGCCTCACGAAATGATGGATTACCAAACAAACGAATGCCAAAAAAGCCGAGTAAATGTATTTTCCTTGTAAGATCTCAAACATAAACAATCAGCCAGTGGCTTAACGGAGGCAAGAAGGAAGATGAATCGGGCACGGAACACAAGCGACCCACAACTACAGAAGAGAGGAATGAATATACAAGAATGAACAAAGGCAGCATGAAAATTATATAGCATTCATGGGGGGAAAAGGACTAAGCTGCACGGCGACGTCAGAAGGAAATGACGGTAAACGAGCAGATTGTCAGACCAAAGAAGAGAGACGGTGGATTCTCTCACAATAATAAATATGGAAAATACTAAATTAAAGTTTTCGGAGATTATTTATACACAAGAGTAATTGTGTATAAATAGCTCTGGCCTATTTAAAGGGTCTGGATCTCCCAGGAGCTCCAGACCCTCACCAGTGAAATAGAAGTGACAACGGATCTTGCAGTTAATCTATTTCTTCCAATATGACAAAATACTGACAGAGGTACACACACATCAATGCACTAATGGATCCATAAACATATGTTCCCAAAATAATTACATTTCGTCCTCTGCAGGAGTGCTGGCTTGTCCTGTCCCCGTCCATGTGACCGAAATAGATGTACCAAGGTGCAGTGTAATTTTGGCGTAGGGAAAGACCTGTGCTCGTGCTGTCCCAGGTGCCTCAAAGTAAGTCTTTACTTATGTACGAGTTACGCTTTAAAAGGGATGTTGAATAAAATTTCAATTACAAACAACAATAATGTAATCAGATTCGTTTTTAACTCTCCCCCCCCCCCGCAACTTAGCTGTCAGTAATAAAATGTTAAAGGGAAATTGGTTTTTTTTTTTTTTGGAGGGAAAGGGGTTGTAGGGCGGGCATGTTTCCATGGGCGTTCTCATCACCGAGGAGCGGGAGGGGTTCCGTCAGCATGGGTCGGGACGCAAGACAGGCCCTAGTTACTGTTACTAGCAAGCGCAGTATGATGGACGGATGTTTCTGTGGGAGCAGTCATATAGACCTGGTTGGCCACAACCAGAGTATGACGATGATGTTATATATATTCTCCCTATCAGCGACTACATCATGTGCTATTGGCAGGGTCTTGGCGAGGAATGTGGAGGCATTTGGAACCACGGCGGGTCCTGTGGGAAGGGTCTGACCTGCTCCAACCCGCCCAACTTCACGACACAGGAGCCAGGCAAATGTGAACCCCAGACGTAAGAGGCAAGAGGTAAGGGGCATGGAGATTACAGGTGTATTAAGGAGTAATATTTTCTGTGTGTTTATGTGAAAAAAAAAGATTCAAAGAGAGAGAGAGAGACCAAGAAAGACGCCGAATATTCACACAACTTCGGTAATGATTTAATTACTGTATCTTTTTTTTTATCTTAGAAAAGCTGTAGATGATACAAATTTGGAGGTTGAAAATATTAGATTATACAGTAATATTATAGCAGTTTTGGTATGATAAATTTGTTATACGTTCAGTTTTGCTGAACCTCTGAAAGAATCCACTTAATAAAAAATGCTACATTTGCTATCCATTGGTAATACAGTCGGCTTCGTTCTCGACACAGAATAGAGAATTTCGGGTTCGAATCCCGGGCGGGACAGAACTGGTTGGGTGGATTTTCTATCACCAAATGCTCCTGTTCACCTAGAAGCAAATAGGTACCCAGGAGTTAGTCAGCTTGTTGTACGTTGCATCCTGGGGGGAGGGGAGGGGGTCATCAGTTCGACCTGAGAGGAGCCTCAATACAAGTCTTAACACACACACGCAGGCTGCCTGTCCCACAAAATGTATTATATATAATTTTGCTTATTTTTCCGTCAAAAATGATTATACATAATTTACTAACTTTTGTTTCCATTTACAGTAACAAGGCTAATTTGCTCTGCAGTGAAGATGATGAAGAATGTTGTTGAACAACATTCTACATTTATTTTGATTTCATGCATCACATAATTCCTGCCTTAAATGTCAAGCATTGCGAGCGTTTAATATTCGTTTGCCTTGTTCGGGTAGAATGTAGACTCAGTAGTCGCTTCTGTATATATTTATTGACTGAGATAGCAAGGTAAATATCTGCCTAGCCGAGGTCCTTCTACTCTGGGTCTGTGAGGATAACTGAGGCTGCTGGGAGCATGCTTGATGCTCCTCTGTCTGGCATGACGTCAGAGGCCTACTTGCCTGTGATTGGTTACATTTCAACTGACAGAATTTGAGTATAACACCGCTCGGACACGCTACCAAGTCGACGTCCCTTGTCGACAAGCTCTGGCTAGCTATATAGTTACAATGATACTGAAAGGACCTCGGTGGCATACAATAATGGCTTACATGTGAAATTTGCATAATAAAACATTGAAAGAAGATCAGGTGTGCGTAATACAAACAACTCGGCATATATGCACCAAAAAAAAAATTCATCATAATAGGTGAAAATCATGGTAACAATGCTTTGATTAAATCAGAGTATTAAGAACATGTGTATGTCTACTGATCAGATATGAACAATACAACTCAAGGTATTGCCTAAACAAAATTATTAACATGTGTCAATGGCATGTGCTTGAAAACCATACAAAATTAAACAATTATTACATTAATAGAACAAAGTTCTGACCTAACAACCACAATTGAATTTCAAGATAGATAATTTTTTTTTTTTTTTTTTCTCTTTTTTTTTTTTTTTTTTTTTTTTCGAAATATACAATATATTTACAAGACCAATGTACAATATATATAATGTGCAATATATTTACAAGCATATACAAGACCTGGATCAAGAAGACTAACATCTGCGTGATAGCAGTCAGGATTCACTGGCCACAATGTGGTTGCTAGAACAATAATAACTCTTATGACAAGCACTGTAAAAATACAAATGGTAGTAGACTTGACAATGGCATCTAATTCATAACAAAATAAAGTTGAGAAAAACTATACATTATATATAATGGTAATAATAAGACACATGTGGTAGAAATACTGCAATTGAGTTTTTTTTTTTTTTTTTTTCAAAACAAACAGAATAACTACAGAGTGCATTCAATTATAAATTCTGCGGATATCTACACCTAGCTCATCCAGAGCACTATACAACTCTGGCTCTGACTGAAGGTCCGGAACGGATGAAACTTCATGTGACAAACTATCATCTTGAGAGATATCCTCGTTAACATCTAGCCAATGGACGTGTGGTGAGTGCACGGTTGAAACGAGAGGTCTAGATCTAAGATTATAATTGCTAGTATGGGGTTGCTGAACATCAAGTGGTCTGTCAACCACAGAAGGTGGTGTCCGAGTAGGAGTATCTGTCTGGGTAAGTTCATTGTCATCTTCCTCATCAGTCTCGTCAACAGTCATTTTAGCTAACTTCATGTGGTCTAAATGCTCATTTATATACTCTCCTGTTAACAAGTTCTTAAGTCTGTATTTGTTACCTTTAATAAGCTCGATTACCTTATATGGACCCAAAAATTTCTTAGTTAACTTGTACATAGGACCAGACCTGTGTTGGTTAAGTATCATTACTACAGATCCAATAGTTATTTTATTGGGTTTAGCTCGTGCATTCCTTGCTAGAGTGAACTCGGCTGTTGCTTTGGACAGTTGTTCTCGTATTTTCTTGAATACTAATTGCATTTGTCTACGCTTCACTTGAACAAAATCATCTACGTTATATAAGGGAGTAGGAGGTACGTTAATCAATTCATTAGGGAGGATCTTATCTGTACCATAAAGAATAGCGTGAGGTGTGTCACCAGTAGAAACATTAATTGAAGAATTTATAGCACACTGAATTAAGGGTATAAAATCATCCCAATTGTTGTTATCAAAATTCAACGTGACTCTCAAGGCATCTAACACTTTCCTGTTAGTACGTTCAGCTAGTCCATTACTTGCCGGATGATAAGGCATGATGCTACATTTTTTGATGTTATATAAATCACACAAGCTAGTTAGAATACTATTACTGAATTCTGGACCATTATCTGAAAGGATTACTTTAGGCATACTATATCTACAAATTATTTGGTCATGGAATGCGCTGGCTATGGTTTCTGCTGTTTTGTTCGGGATAGGAACTAGTTCGCAAAACCGTGAAAAATTATCGACCATTACAAGCAAATGTTTGTTCCCTTTCTCTGTTTCCGCAAAATTTGTCAATAAATCCATCGATATTCGTTCCCAAGGAGCTTTAGTTGCTGGGTACACCTGAATTGGATTAGGTCCTGAAACATGTCCCTTGTGCTGTAAACAAGTTAAACATCTGTCAACATAATGAGCAATCTCCTTAGCCATTTTTGGCCAAAAATATTTCAATCGACCTTGTTGGAGTGTACGATCCTTTCCTGGATGTGCACTTGCAGGAGCATCATGGATAATTTTTAACACAGTTGGTACCAAGACAGCTGGAACAACTAACTGACAACATTTCCTCGAGGCTGTCCCTAGCTTTACTACTCTACACAGTAAATTGTCCAACATAACTAGTTCTTTCAATGGTACTGGTGGTTTATGAATCGGGCGAGTGTCTTGCTTAGTCAAAAATTTAATGACGGGTGCCCATATGGGGTCTTGTCTTTGTTCCGTTTCTACTACTGTAGCATCTAATGCTGGGTAATTTAACTGAATCGCAGCTACGTGTCGAGAAAACGCATCCGCTACAACATTTTGCTTTCCTGGAATATATCCAAATGTGGGATTGAATTCTTGAATTGTGAGCAAATATCTAGCAAACTTTCCAACTGGATTCTTATTTTTGAACAAGGGAATTAATGGTTGGTGATCTGTAAGAACATGAACTGGGTAATTATAAATTGTATCCTTGAAATGTTTAAGTGCCCAAACAACTGCCAAGGCTTCTCGTTCTGTTGCACTATAATTTTTCTCTTCTTTGGATAATGTGCGGCTAGCATAAGCTATTGCGTGATCTCTGTGACCTTCTGTTTGAAGTAATGCAGCACCTAGACCTATGTCACTAGCATCTGTAACCAACGTAAAAGGTTTAGAAAAATCTGGATACCTAAGGACAGGTGACGAAATCAAGGCTGCTTTGAGTTTTTTGAATGACTGATCCTGGGCCTCTCCCCAAACAAAGGGTTCATCTTTTCTTTGCAACTTGTAAAGCGGAGCGGCTATAATAGAGAATCCAGCAATAAATGAACGATAAAATCCTACAAGACCTGTGAACTGTCTTACGGCTTCTGCGGTACGAGGTGTTGGAAAATCACGGGCAGCAATAATTTTTGATTCATTCAATGTAATACCTGAAGGTGTAACTGTATGACCTAGGAAATTAATCTTTTGCTTTAAAAATGAACATTTTGCAAGCTTTATTTTTAAATTAGCTTCAGCGAGCTTTGCAAGTACTTTTTCAAGGTTCTGGAAATGAGTCTGAACATCTTGCGACATGATTATGAGATCATCAAGGTAAACTAGAAGCGTACTTCCTATCAATCTACGAAATAGATTTGTCATGAGCCGTGAAAAGGTTATTGGACTACTACGCAAACCAAACGGCATTCTTTTGAAATGAAAATGACCATTGGGAGTACTAAAGGCTGTCAATTGTTTACTTTCCTCATCAAGGGGGATTTGCCAGAATCCCTGCAACAAATCTAACGTTGAGAATACTTTGTTTCGACCAATACTTTGCAACAAATCATTTAGAACTGGAAGTGGGAAACGATCAGGTATTGTTACTCTGTTAAGCTTGCGATAATCGATTACAGGTCTCCAAGTCCCATCTCGCTTTGGTACAAGAATCAATGGAGCGTTCCATGGCGAATTACTCGATTCAATTACATCACTCCTGCCTTAAATGTCAAGCATTGCGAGCGTTTAATAACGTGTCATTGCGGCATTGTTAGCCTCAAAAAGATCATAATTTCCATTATGCAAATAAACTTCAGATATGAACCAGTTTGAATTTTTACCGTTAAAATATCACCTAATATTGGCTCCGAGAACCTTGGCTTAATGTACTTGATGTTAATAACACAATATTACAGTTGTGACGAGAATCTGGAATAGAACAGCGGCTATTCTGCTCTTGTGCCAATCTCACATTACTAAAAAAAAGTAAAACAAAGAAAAAACCTGCTTGTGTCCTCTACAGTGTGAGAGCTGCGGGTGAAAACCAAAGGGAAAAAAAACTTCAAACATTTAATATAACAAAAATGACTAATATAACAAAAATAAATATATATAATAAATAAATAAATAAATATATAATAAATAAATAAATAAATATATAATAAATAAATAAATAAATAATAAATAAATAAATATAACAAAAATAATATAACAAAAATGACTTTAATAACACAAAATAATAAGTAATTAATGAAAAACAAAACTCTTAAACACTTGGCTTTACACAAGATCAAAAAAAGAGAAATATATATACAAGTGGAATTTACATTAATATCAAGGGTGCAAGAAATACTTTATACACAAACTGGAAGCGTCTACCGTCACCCGGGGGAGCTAGAGTAGACCTTATAGCTGAGAGCACTCGAAGGGTAATCTAATGTCTGGATTGACTGACCGATAAAGATTAAGCCACCCAAAAGGTGGCACGGGCATGTATAGCCCGTAAAATGTTTGGCCGCCGGCGAGCCCTATTTATATGGGGCATGACGTCAGAGATGGCGCGAATTCTGTTGGCAACTATCGGCCGGCAGGAGAATGGTCGTTTGCGAGTGGCGTCTGGTGCCCTGCTGAGACAGGTGGTGTGCTGGTGTCTTGGATACTGGAGGGCGGAGGAAGGGGGGGGGGGTGGCCACGGGAGACATCTCCCGTCACGCAGGGTGCAGCCGCACCTCCACAGGTCTCCAGTATCATCTATTGATACTAATAATGGCTCAAAAGGGCCACCACTTACGGGCTATTCATGCCCGTAAGTGAAATGGCTCCTCCCTCCCTACTCGGAGGGAGGAGCCCATAAGAAATGATGAACTTCAACAAGTACAACAAGCCATGGACATAAGGAAGCAGTGTACCAGCCTGAGGATATTAAGAGTGAAATAAGAGGTTACCAGAGGTTATCAGTGCCTCCAAGTGGCAAAGACAAATTTAAAACAATGCAAAAGATAATAATGAAGGTTGATTTTTAGCCACATTAGTGTGGAAAAATAACTAACAAAAAACAACAGGTGATGAAACTGAGGACGGGAGATAATTCGTTTACCGAGAATGATAAAGAAGTGTTAGGAATTCCAAGGGCCAGATTCACGAAAGCACTTACGCAAACACTTACGAACCTGTATATCTTGTCTCAATCTTTGGCGGCTTTGTTTACAATTATTAAACAGTTAATGAGCTCCGAAGCACCAGGAGGCTGTTTATAACAACAACAACAGTTGATTGGCAAGTTTTCATTTTTGTAAACTGCTTAATAAATGTAACCAAAGCCGTCAAAAGATTGAGGAAAGATGTACACGTTCGTAAGTGCTTGCGTAAGTGCTTTCGTGAATCTGGCCCCTGGCAGGTCTTCACAGTAGAACAAGAAGAAACTCCTGTACTATAAGTAATGTAACACAACCAAGAAGCACTAGACATTCTTGACCCAGGGAGGAGGACACCTGCTGGAGTTGGACACAGCTGAGATGGCGAAACCATTAGTACTTTGATTATTTTGCCCAGGTGGTCTTTTATAAGATAATGGGAAAAACCCACAACCCATCTCGCCACTCCTCCCGTGCACGGCAGATTTCGCTATATAAGGCAATGATGTAAATTTTCCAGCCAGTTGCCAAGAAGCTACTGCTCGAGACGCACAATTTTTTCACACTTGCTCGTGAGTAAACTGTTACTTTTTGTTCCGATGGTAAAATAGAGTTTGTTCTCTTACTCAGAATCAGGAATTCTGGGTTCGAATCCCAAGCGGGACAGAAATGGCTGGATGCAAGTCCACTATGGGCTCACCACAGCCTGTGCTTTTTGAACTATCGTTCAGAGTAGCTGAATCTAAAACTACAAGTTTGTTGCGTTGTCTATAACCTAATGCTCTGTTCACCTAGCAGTAAATAGGTAACCAGAAGTTAGTCAACTTGTGGGGTTGCATCCTGGGGTCAAATTACTTTATAGTGTAAAATTCGGATAAAGTCGCACTTCCAGAATTATTGCTTGTGCCAGGAACGGTCGAAAGTACTCATCAAACCTGGCCTATGATCGTATTGAAGGATGGATTTTAATACTTTAGTACACGTCCCTACGAGCATAGCAAACAGAGCATTTTCCACACACATTTGTTAGTCAGTTTAATATTAAGAGATGTTAAGAACCACCTCGTTAGACCGAGTGTATATACTCTAGTTTGTATACATTATTTAACTGTCCGTCTTCTACGTGTGTCTTAGTCTATATTTATTATTTATTGAACAGTTTACGAGCTTCGAAACTTAACCCAAAGTTATTACCGTTATATACAACCTCGTAACGCTTGGGTGCTTATAAACTGTTTAATAACTGCAAATCAACTCGCCATAGATGAGGAGAGATTACAGGTTTCCTAAGTGGACATGGAAATTGATGAATGACGACAGACTAAGGGAGCTGGACAGACATCTTACAACAGAGCCTGACAAGCTGTGCTTTGAGGCTGACGCTCAGAGCCAAGATAAGCTCTCTTAGAGTAGCCTGTCCTGAAAGAATCAAACACCGCGAAACGCACCACACACACACACACACATTCGCCACCCACCCGACATGCACAGCCTAATGTTTACTCCTCTTCCCGCACGCACACGTCCAAACATCCTCCTCCCCGCTTATAAACATTCCAAACATTCAAGACCCCCCGCGTACTCAAGCATTTATCCCCCTCACATATAATGATCGGCAGTTTTATTTGGTACTGTAATTAATAAAATAAACAGCTAATAGCTAGCAACATGTTCACTCAAATTATACGTTACATTTTGACGTCAAAATTCTAAGCGATATAAATTTGACTAAATGTAAACTGTCAGCAGAACTATTCGCATACATTGAGTCATTATATAATGGAATGTGAAAAAAATCGCGGAATTCAGAGATAACACCATCAATGGAGTCCAAGATATGTGTAAGTGCTTCCTTTATAATAATGTACTGCCGGGAATCTTAGCGAAGTATGCAAAATTTGCTTACTGTAGGTAATGCATGCACATGACTGTAAAGCTGCCGCCCAGTTGGGTGGGTGTGGAGTAAGACGAGTAACTGTGTAACTCACCATAGATGTAGAGTGCCTTGTGAGCCTTTTGTTGAATCACTTTTGATATAAAACGATTATCGACGTGTATATGTATTTGTGTAAATGATTGTATAATATATAATTACATGTGTATGTTACATTTATAATTGTGTAACTAGCTTCAAAAGATTGTCATTTGCTTAGCTAAATGAACTATGGGGTTCAGTTCCTGAACCGATTATGTGACTCTGTAATCCTTTCCACCACCGCCCACGGGATGGGTATGGGATGCATAATAAAGAAAGTGTAGACAAATAACGTGGTACTATTAATCACAACGGCCATGGAACAAACACGTTTTCTATGCGCGAGTCGGTAGGTTAGAGTCGGTTAGGATAAATTCGCGTGTTTTAATACATCTTTTAACGTCCCCTTGTTGTAACAGGAGAGGACGGGTTGCGTCCACACAGAGGCCACTTATCTGCGAACGTGACGCGACATCCGATCAGGGGTTTACTGATTGCCAACTGCCAATCAGTTTACAACAGTTGAAATACACTCAGGAAATGTCATACACTCAGTTGCTATACACTCAGGAAATAATTATTTATAAAAAATACATCAGAAGCATGATACAGAAGCATGATATTCGTAAGTGTAAAACGTTAATTATATAAAAGGCACCAATTCGGAGAGCGACAAATCTAGGAATATGTGCACCAAAAGTTTATTATTTACATCAGCTATACAAGAAGCCTAGTCACCGAGTCAGTTGTACAAGCAACTAAGCCTACAATATGTCAGCTATGCAACCCACATCGCCACACCACCATCGTGCCACACCGTGGACATGTCATAATGCCACAGTACCACGTCACACTGCCATCATATGACACCACAGTCAATAACCCCACAGTTATGGGTTATTAACACCATGTATAACACCATGGTGTTAATTACCCAACCCATCTCAAACATCAGACCCCATATACTAACTAGGTGACGTGTACAAAGTGTGGACTGTTGTACACATAAAAGTTCACGGTGTGTACTTTAGGAATACTAAAGAGTTGTTGTTGCTTTAGATTCAGCTACTCTGAACCAAAATTTCCACGTAGCACCGGCTATGGTGATCCCGTAGTGAACTTACCTGGCAGGTAAGTTCACCTGTCACAGCCTCTAACGGGGCTGTGACAGAAGTGAAGCAGTAATAATAAATCTAATCAAACCTATCCTAGACCTATATAAACAAACCTAGGCCTAACACGTAATATTTGGGAGTGGTACGAGCAGTCGTGACAGCCAAGAGATCCCGGGTTTGATGACTGCGGTGTAGCGAGTAGATTATCCCAATAATATACTCGCTACAGCGGCAAGACTAAAGCGTTTGGGTAACGTTTTCTTTCACCTCATACGATTATTCACTAGCGGCAAATAGTACTGTACTTGTATCCCACAGCTGTTACCGAATTTCCATCCTGGTGGTCAGTAGTTTGTTCAGTACCTATATAAGCCTAACAGATTTTCAATCACTTTTTTTTTAGGGGGGGGGGTATCAACAGTCCATATTGACCAGACCACACACTAGAAATTGAAGGGACGACGACGTTTCGGTCCGTCCTGGACCATTCTCAAGTCGATTGTCGAATGACACAATCGACTTGAGAATGGTGCAGGACGGACCGAAACGTCGTCGTCCCTTCAATTTCTAGTGTGTGGTCTGGTCAACATACTTCAGCCACGTTATTGTGACTCATCGCCTGCAAACAGTCCATATTGTGTACATTCCAGCCATCGTGGCTATAACGGGGTGCTATCAATTCTAGATAACAATTGTTAACGTCCATGGAGCCATTAATACCTTTAATGACACGAGTGCTTCACAGGAGCTGTGGTTCAGACGAGTGCCAGAATGATGCGTGGAGTTGGCGTGGTCCTGCTGGCATTACTTGCTCTCATTCACATGTAAGTCACCTTCACTATTCTTGTTTACCTCCCCTCAAGCACGAACCTCCTACAGTGTTTCTGGATATGTTCCGTATTTGAATCTCAAACACTTAAATTTCGTGAGTAGAAGTCAGACTTGAGAAAATTCTAAAATATCTTGTCTTGACTATATTTACTAACATCGGAGGTCAATTTCTACTCGGGTTTATCGTAAACCTAGTCAACGGATTAAGTTTATACTGTATAGTTTTAATTTAGGACAAAAAAAAACTATAAATTGAATACAATTAAAATCTTTACTAAATATAATTTTTAATGTTAGGGTTATAAATCATTTTATATTGACGTAATAATTTTTGCATTTTTCTCCCAAATACGTTTCCTAGCAAAGTATTTTATAGAATTCCGAAAACATTTTTAAATACTAAATTTCTACCTACTGTCTAACTTCTTACAGTCCGTAAAGATATACATTGTCAAATTTCAGTAATTGAATACTATTAGCTATTATATTAGAAAGGAACTTTCCGCAATATATTCGAAGATGTACTTATCCACATATTAGTTTTCAATTCGTTTTTACCAGCAATTACATTATTGGGAACTATTTAGAAGATAATGAACGTTTACCCTCGTGTTGTCTATTTTTAAACATTCGAACTGAAATGCTGGATTTCGAACCTTTAAACACGGTCAATACACTCAAAATGTGTTTCAAACATGGTGTTTTGTGAGCACTTACCGCACCCCCAAACGCTAGTTGCCTGCTCTGCTAGTCGAGGTCACTGCCCTTTCACTTAACCGACTGCGCTGGTCTGGTCTCAGTTAGTTGCGTTTACAACTCAACACCTTTAAAACTGTCTCAAGGGTCCGAATGAGACCAGAGTTGAACGGCTCTGAGTCCTCGACTCGGTTGTTTACTCTAACTGTCGTTTTCGTTGAAGTATATCGAGGAAAAGTTGTAATATTTATGTTGCTAATAAAACCTAACCTAACCATCCTAGGCCTAATATTGTACATATATGTGCTATAATTAGCCTAGAAATATTTAAGTTTGATTTTTAGCTTTATTTTTACAGACATAAGAATAGTACAAAAAGTTGCTTACTGGGCTCCATGACTATATATTGTACGATTGACCACATAGCTACAAAGTGTATTATCAAAACAGGATGGGTTGTACATATGAATATATTTTGCTTGGGTATCGCAAAGTACAATAAATCAATAATTTGTGTGAAACTTGACGCACCAGCACTGAAACATTAGCTTAATGCCACTATTGCCTTCACTCTTGATCTATAGTTTGTAATCCCTCATATAGTATAGAGTTGAGCAGCATATTACTAGCCTACCAATATATACCACCATAATTATTGCACACAGTCTAGTTTGTTGATGTCATTTACTATGCACCCCATACCCATCCTGTGGGCTGTAGTGGAAAAGGGTTACAGAGGCACAAGAAGTGATCCCCAAAATTCATTTAGCTAAGCAAGTTACGGCTCTTGATAAACTAGTTACAAAATTTAATACATATTGCTGTATCAACAAAGTGAATACCTGCAATATTGAAATAATAGGGGAGAGCTTCGACTATAGTCACCGGCTTCCTATCCTCGTCGAGGCCACTCGTGTCAGTGGCCCTCAGGTAAATTCAGGTAAAATATAATACATTACCGTGGGCCGGCAGGTCGTCGGGGCTGTCGTGTCAGACGTGTGGGTCCAGGAAGTGTCCCCAACTGAGGTGTCCTCTGGGCGTCGAGAAGGACGTCTGTAACTGCTGCGACCGCTGCCTCAAGGCGAGTCTCCCTCTGCTTGTCTGTTAGGTTAGGTTAGAACAAGCTATAATCACCAGATTTATTTCCAATGGTAGTATTTTTAATTATTAGGTGAACTGTATGGTTGCTATTAGCGCCGTAATGTTCAGTTGAAAATTGAATCTAATACTGTATATCCATATAGTGTTTTCAGCACTGACGTCTATTCAAAATAAAATAAATAATATATATATATATATATATATATATATATATATATATATATATATATATATATATATATATATATATATATATATATATATATATATATGTCGTACCTAGTAGCCAGAACGCACTTCTATGCCTACTATGCAAGGCCCGATTTGCCTAATAAGCCAAGTTTTCATGAATTAATTGTTCTTCGACTACCTAACCTACCTAACCTAACTTTTTTGGCTACCTAACCTAACCTTACTTATAAAGATTGGTTAGGTTAGGTTAGGTAGGGTTGGTTAGGTTCGGTTATATATCTACGTTAATTTTAACTCCAATAAAAAGAAATTGACCTCATACATAATGAAATGGGAAGCTTTATCATTTCATAATAAAATAATTAGAGAAAATATATTAATTCAGGAAAACTTGGCTTATTAGGCAAATCGGGCGTTGCATAGTAGGCATAGAAGTGCGTTCTGGCTACTAGGTACGACATATATATATATATATATATATATATATATATATATATATATATATATATATATATATATATATATATATATATATATATATATATATATATATATATATATATAATTAGAGAAGGTAGGGGGTAAGATTAGCGAGGTAAGGGTGGGAATGAGGTCAGTAAGGTGCTGTATGTATATCCAAAATTGAGAGTTTAATTAACACTCATGCCTGATTGCTCTTAACTCAAGATATAACTGTAATAAGTTTGTTTTTTGATGTAAGGAACAGATATAATAAAATATTCATTGATGGAATCAGATTCTGTCTCCTATGGATCCTATCAGATATTAACACTTCAAATTACAAAATAAAACTGATGAGTTAGCCAATGCATATTCTTTTTCAGAGGGTTGAAAATCACCTTGGATTGCCTATGAGCTGCCTGAGGCAATAATACACTGAGAACAAAAAAAACTTGAGTAGACCCAAGTCAAAGAAAATTTACATTAAGCCAATTCACACAGGAAGAACCATGTACAATATGTATTTATGCATAATCAAGTATAATAAGCATACGTCTATAGATGTTACTGCTGCTGGGCTTAGACTCTACTACAAGTACTGTACCTCTAGATGTTTTCACCACCTGCTGAAATAGATCTAACCAAATTTAAACTTTGTTGGCAAAACTTTTCACATCACTATATAGTTTACAGACAACTATCACTAATGTTCAAGAAATGTCCATATATTTTATATTACCTACAACTGGTTAGAATGTTGCCCAATATTCTAGCCAGTTGTAGTGTACACACTGTCCAAAAGCTGGCACTGCCTGCAATTTACTTGCTCATCTCTTGATCATGTACCATAACATAAGATACAATAATATAATTAGATCACTGCCCTTATAACTTTATCACAAGTTTGAAGCAATAAAACTTATATTTGTTGGTATACTAGTTACAAGTTAATTAGACTCAAGAGCATTGGGGGGGTTCAATTCCTGTATCCAATTTGTGACTAACTTTCATGTTAATTAGGATAAACTAACCAAAATCATGAAAAAACTTAATGAATATTGTGGGTTCCTGAGCCCATTATCTACCTCTGTAACCTTTTCCACTATGGTATTAATACAGGGAATATCTAATGAAATATGAACATTGTAATAACTGACTGGGCATTGTGGAGGTGGAGAAAATGTAGCAGAGTGCAAACATTACCATCAGTTTATGACATTGTTTATCTTAAGGGAAATCGACCTGCATCAAATAAATTACACTTCCTCAAACCTCTTTTTACATTGCTATATGCTCATCCTTCACCATCAGGCTTAAATATTAATCACCTTGTTCCATCATCTACTACCTTGAGGTTACCTTGAGGTGCTTCCGGGGCTTAGTGTCCCCGCGGCCCGGTCGTCGACCAGGCCTCCTGGTTGCTGGACTGATCAACCAGGCTGTTAGACGCGGCTGCTCGCAGCCTGACGTATGAGTCACAGCCTGGTTGATCAGGCTGGTCAGGTTACTACATTTAACATTCCTAACATTTCATTTAATATTGACAGGGTCTTGGCGAGCCATGTGCAGGCATCTGGAACATAAAGGGGTCATGTGCCCCGGGCTTAGTGTGCAGCAATCCATCCACAGTACCTGTACCCAACCAACCTCCTGGTGTATGCATAATTCCAGGAAAGCAGGTAAAGGGTTATTTTGTATGGAAAATCATATTAAAAAAATTATTTGTCTGTGTAACATAGCTAATGAAAACCAATAGAAGCAAAAAAGTTTTTCATATTTTGGGACTTTTTGAGTAGCTGCCTGTGAGGCTACCTTGTGTAAGCTTAATTAATTTTGTGTTTCATGGAGAGAACTATGCACTCCCTTATTATGTAAAACTGCAAATTACTTAAGAAATATCAGGTTATGTTTTTAGTGTTATGAATCATTGAAGAATCATCAAGCATTTATAATTTGCCTAACATTTGCAGACTGGTTACTGATTCCCCTGAATGATGGTACTGGACAGACATCCCTGATGTGGTGACCAGGCTCGTTACCACATGGCTTGAGCGATGAGTTGCATCACTATGTAATACCATACTTCACTTTGTATTTGCCCAAATCTCATAAATTTGTCAACATTTTAAGTTGTCGTTATTGAACAGGTCCTCCTGAGTGAAACATCAGTTTTGCACATGCAAATGATTTGACAGAAAAATCTGTTCAAACAGTATCCTCAACACCTTGTGTACTTCCTCCCAAGAGCTTCCCATCAGGAAGTAGCCACAATAGTAGTGTTTCTACTAGGCCCTCTCATCACAGAAATCTTTCACTCTTTCAAACACTCTCCTCCTCCAATCACCCTTTCCAAACTTGCACCACTCTTCCCTTCCAAGATAGTGGTTGTCTGCCTCTACCCTTAAAAAAATTACTTCTCATCAAATGGTGCATCCCATGCAAATGAGATCCTGGTATCCCAGATCAATATACTGTAGATGACTATCAGGCAGTTATCCCAAGTCTCTATATTTATTCTCCAACAAATTCCTCAGATGTTACTTAAAAACTTAAATTAAGTAACCTTTCTGATACCTAACCTAATTTATAAAAAAAACTCAAATATTATACTCGGCCGTAATATTACAATAAATCAAGTTTAATTGCGCGCCTTTCCTGATACAGTACCTGTATTACTAAAAATGCTAGAGTAACACTAGTCCATACAAGTTGTCTCAGTAAATTCAATTACTTTAGACAATATCAATCCTGCTCACCTTGTCCAAAATATTTGAAAAGTTAATGTACAACAGCTTTACTAAAACCTAGTTAAAACACAATACAGTATACTGTACTTAGTTCTTGCCAATATGCCCTCAGACTGCCAAAAATTGTTTTTCATATATTTGACTATATAAGTCAAGTATATTAGGAAAATATTGGAAGGACTAGTTCCAAATCTGCACACAGAAATAACACCACACGAGACCACATGGCACAGCTGGATGTTAAAGTAGCCCCACTGAAAAGCAGAGGTGCAATAGGCATACGGAGAGAACTCGATCAACATCAATGGCCCAAGACTTTTCAACACACTTTCCCTACACATACGGGGCATAACTGGCTGACCTCACAGTGTTTAAAAGAGAACTCGACAAGCACCTTCAAAGGATACCTGATCAGGCAGGCTGAACGATCAGGCCTGATTGTAAGTCAGGCTACGAACAGCCGCATTGAACAGCCTGGATGATTAGTCCAGCAACCTGGAGGTCTGGTCAGAGACCAGGCTGCAGGGATACTGATCCTTTAAATTTCCAACAGGTAGATACATGCAGCTCTTGACAAAAATTAGTACTGTACCCTCATTTGTTGACTTGCATAAGGTCTTTGATATTGTTAACCACAACAACTTTCTCAACCTGAACTATAAAATCATTGGTCACTCCCCTCAATACTTTCCATCTTACTTCAATGACAGACACGAGTGTTTCTGTGAATGATGCTACTTCTCTCATATTGCCATTACCATTAGTGTTACAGGTGACCGAGCCTGCATGTTTTTCCCCAGCATCTCCTCTTCCAGAGGTATGGTCATGAAATGTTTGCACAAGGCTCTCTGTCTTCACATGCCACCTTCCTTCTTGGTTTGACTTGAGGTTGGAGGGTTACGAAGGGGTCCTTTAGCTTGTTGGGTCTTGGTTTCTTTAGTCATAGGTTGATCCCTCTATTTTTTCAGTTGTAGTGGTAATTGCATGCTAGTTGGGGTGTCCAGGTATTGTGTTGACAAACCAGTTCGTCTGATTCCTTGTTCCAGAGCCTGGTTTTTCCATAATGTCTGTGGGGTGGTTTGCCTTAGTCAACCTGCAGCCTTTTCATGGGCCCTTGAGGTTCACAAGTTTTCAGCTCTTTTCCCCTTTCTTCACTTTCATGTCCTGGGGGAGTGTTTAGAGCTATTGCTTTGTGGAGGGAGGTGCCTGTGTGTAATTACCTAAAAGTAATTACAAAATGAGAACTATGCTCATGGAATCCCATCTTACCTTGAGGTTACCTTGAGGTGCTTCCGGGGCTTAGCATCCATGCGGCCTGGTCGTCGACCAGCCTGGTTGATCAGTCCTGGTTGCAGGACTGATCAACCAGGCTGTTGGACGCGGCTGCTCGCAGCCTGACGTATGACCAGGTCATACCCAATAATCTTTGTTGACACTGAAACTTCTGATGCTTTAGGCATCAATCACCTCATTTAAATTGTTCCGATTGTGCACAACTCGGTTTGCAAGTGAACTACCGACTTTTTTTGGCAATTATGTTTTCTTAGCACAAATTTGTGGCTTCTTACTCTTGATTTTTTTTTTTAAATCATGACAGGAACTTTGTAGATTCCTGTTGTGATTTTTTATGTGGTAATCATATCACTATTTCATTTTATCTACTTGCTTTGGTATGTTTAATGCCTCTAATCCTGTCTTTTTTTTTAGGTCTGGAAGCCATATTATATATGTGTATGTATATTATATTATATTACATTATATATATATATATATATATATATATATATATATATATATATATATATATATATATATATATATATATTATATATATATATGAAATAAAATATAGTAAAACGTTTCATCCACCTAGTATGGAGAGTTCAACAGATAATGTATGTCCTCTTCACATTAATAACATATTCTACTATTATTTCAATTACCATCCCATGTACAATCTAATGCAATAATTCACATAGTTTAGAGGAATAATAAAATAAAAAGTCTTGTTATATGTACATTTTAATACAAGTAATTATCAGAAAGTAAAAAAACTAACAAAAAGCATAGGAAAATATTGATGAAAGATAAATATTTTCTCATACATTATATTATTACAACATTCCATCACTACTGTGTACACTAGTAATTGTTCAGCAAATTAGAAAAATTTAACTCCACCTTCCATATCGTAGAGCAGAGAATCTACCCCTCTATTTCCTCAAATGATGTGTCCCTTTTACTTAAGTTTTATACAAGATGGAAAACAAAATTTTTATACTAATCAATTTGTCCCATGACATGAGTGGACAATTGTTTTGAACTGAAAACCCTCTGGCTGCTGCTATGGCAGCCTTGATCATGGTAGACTACAGTGATCATTAAAGACTTTATTACTAATGTTTATTCTTTACTTATAGATTGCTAAATAAGAAAAATATTGCAGTTTAAGGTTAACAAGAACATATTGTTAACTGAACTTGTATTATTTTGCCTCTTGATATACCAGTATCAAGATTCCAAAACCCTCATCCCTGTTTAACTCATTTCAAATGAATAGAAACAAGACTTCCCACAACTTTTAGATTTAAAATTTAACCTTTCCAGACAAAAATATCCACATACCAGCCATGGTATAAAATAAAGGTGGTAAATCTTTTAACATTATCATCATTAATCATTATACTCTAAATATCTTTGTCCACAAAACAAAATTAAGTCAAATGTTAACATTTTTAGAAATCATGCATTGAATGTAATGAAATGGCCTTTTCTGGTGGGCCTCAGTAGCTCACCGAGTTACTCCCTAAGCCAAACGTTAGAGGCATGGGGTATCTCCCTGAGTTCCACCCTTGCCCATCACAGGCTTGAACCAGAATCTGGCTCTCCACAGGATGTCTGAAGCTTGGGGATAGAAGAAATTAACCCAAACTGAGAAGAAACCTACTGGAGAGTATAAAAGCAGCAAAGCAAACAATTGGTTGAAGAAAATTAGATACCCAGCGATAACAAGGTAAACAATCATGGCCACACAATGAACACCCGAACTGGAATGTGCCTGACCACCATTAGGTGGCAGGCAAGGTTAGCTGGGGCTTCAGCTAGACTGCCCCCTCCCACCCAAATTGGAGGTGAGGCCCCATGGGCTACCAGAACAAAAGTTGGGTTTGAGGCCATCGTCAAAAATCCCAAAGGAAACAGCCTCAAATGCCATAAACAAAATTGAAGCAAATGGCTCTGGGTACTGCTACCACCAGCTCACTGCTCACAAAGGAGGAGACCCCATATGGAGCACCCAAGAGCAAGACCTGATACTCTCGGCACCACAAGACCTCCCCCCCCCCCAGTCCTAATGCTTGAAAAACACCTGTGCCATAGAAAGAAAGCTATGCAAAAGACACAAGGTTGAAGCCAATGGGAACCCATCAGGAGAGAGGTGGTTCTACATCAATAGAAAAAATGGTGGCAACAGTAAAATGTAGAAAACATATACAAGACAAAAAAAAATCACAAACAAGCGAAACCAGGCACCTGGCTCACCTCGTTGATGGCTTTATGTGTGTGCCAAGCATGAAGGAAACATCTTAGCTGAATCCCAACAACAAATACCAGGCACGGAATGGCACAGGAAATGACGGACAAGAACAATCAATCACTTACAAGAGCCAAGCATACATTCACCAAGGCGCAGAGCTCCAACAGACTCAACACATGCACAATGATAACTACCACACTTCCCATCAACAGATCTCACAGTGCGAGAACCAGTCAAGATTGTAGTGGAGGAACCCAGAACCCCTCAGATCAGGTATCCTTGGTGGGAAAAATGGAAACATAAGTCAACTACCAAGGAAGGGAACCCTGGTCAACAATTGGAGCAAAATATAAAGCTAGTGTATGCAAAAATTTGTGACATAAAATACTCAATCAAGAAGTAGAAAGGAAATAATACAATGTCATAGTCCCCCAATGTAAATAATATTTCAGGAAAAAGACACCAGCATGGCTTAGTTTAAGCATGAAACAGAGGATGGGTCCTGTCAGATGTTCTATGCTGAGATCAGATGAGTGATGGGCCAAATTAGCTCGAGCCTCGGGTGACCTGGGCAGGAAACCTAATGGCAGTCCGGTGCATAACAGTTATGGTGTTTACCCTTCGACAATGACTGTTTTTCTCATTACCTAGAGGTACCTAATTTTGTTCACACAGTTGCCTTTGTTACACTTATCGGTTCTGTCAAGTTTTAGCGGTTTTGGGTTCATCCCTTGATCCCAAACGCCCCTCATGTTGTAGAGAGCCATATTCTGGTCCATGCTCCTCAAGAATTGACTTGATCAGCTTAAGCTTAGTCTGGGGAACCTAAAGTGTGCACCCATCAGGAAAAATCACAAAATTTATAATAATGAAAAAAATAGTGACAGGAGAGGCAATATCTTTTTATTAAATATTCTGCAAATACAGAAGAAAAAGTAATTGTATAATTATTTATCATAATATAGGTATTTCTAAAATTTGTATACAATACCAGTACTCTAAAATTTACCAACTATTAAGATTTTTTTTATAAAATGCTTATTGAAAGCAAATCCTGGATAATAGCATCTGAGATGACGCTGTACCTTCATTGTTAGCAACAAGAAACACGGCCTAATGTGCAGGATGTGACCCAGGCAGCCTGTCAAGTATTAAAACAAGTCAGTTTTTACATCTTTGAACCTATCACCCGTCTAACTACATCAGCTTTATTACGGTCCACATGTTTGGTCTCACAGGCAGCAAATAAAACCTTCACGCACAAAAATTAGCATTCAACAATTTATATAAAATTAAATGAAATGCTTGAACTGTCATCACCAACAAGACAAGAGTGTGTGTGTGTGCACAGCACAATGATACACACTATTGACCATAACTGAACAAGACTAAGTAATGGCCCATAGGCAATGACCAGCCAATGATGAACTTAAAACCACATATCAGGACACCCAGTAGCCCAGTGACCTCGCCGACCTGAAAAGTGACAATAATAATAATAATAATAATAATAATAATAATAATAATAATAATAATAATACATGAACACATACATACTTTACGTTGATTCCGGTGGGGGGGGGGGTCAAGGTCCCCACTGCCTGGTCACTAGGATGACGATCACGAGCTGCTACATGCATATATTATCTTTACCATTTCACACTCGTTTGGGGTCAAGAGACATATGCCTAGAGAAAATAATCCAGCACCGAGTGTAATGAAATGTCTGATGACAACTTGATAATGGTTCAGGATGGACCGAAACAACATCATTTCTCCATCTTCTGATGTGTGAGTTTTGTCATCATTTCTTCAACCACGTTATTGTGACTCATTGTCTGCTAATGAAACATCTGTTTCTGCTGTGTCCCTCAGTGGCTCCCTGAGCTACCCTTTTGAATCATTCCAAACCTTAGATACCCCATCTGGCTCTAATGAATCACAAGCATCTACTGGAGACCAGGATCAGATTCTGGCACCCTGCACTGCCCTGAATAGAGCCATTGGAAAGTCATAAGTAGAGCACAACAATACAAGTAACTGCTTGGACAACATCTGCAATCCTGATTTAAAAAACTAGGTACACAATCATTATCTAGGTCGCTAGTTTGCACAATTCCCTCACCACCAGGTGGCAGCCCAGGTGTCTCGAGGGTCACCAGAAAGCCACATCAGTAATTTACATATTACCTCAAGCAGTGATCCCCAAACACCAAGAGATGAATGGCAGGTGCAGGACTGGGATGCTACAGACTGACCCACTAGAAAAATCACTTCATCATATTCAATGCTGGATTTCTGGAAGAGCCTCCTCGGTTGCTCCATGAGCTATCTCAACCATGGACAAAGCAGACAACAATAAGGGATTACCATGGGAAGAATAGAGATGAATAATCCCAGAGGGATTGGGTGCCGGGTCAACTGACTCAATGCCACATAAGCCTGAGGCTGCTTAGGAACATTAACCAGGTCCCGAGTTGCAAGAACACCTAAAATCACAAGCATGACTATAGCCCCAGAGCATACTGAAGAACAAAGTAAACACCACTGCAAAGTTGCTGATGTCAGAGGCCAGCAGATAGACAGTAGGGGCAGGCTAAACTTCACCTTGCAAACCACCTGAGACAATTGTATCCTAGAACAAGGAACCAGAGACTGGATTAACATAACAAAGTATTCATCTTAGCGGCAGAGGTAGTGGCACACTGCTATCCTCGGATAGACAGCACAATGAACACCAGGCCAGAGCAAGCGAGCATCACCCACTAAAGAACTCCAAAAATCCACAATCCCATTTTTCACTAGAAAGGAAGCCGAAGGCTGAAGATGCGGGAACCAATCCCAGGACAAAATGAACACAACCCCCACTTCCAAGAAGCTCACCAACTCGACACTCGGTAGCAAGGGCTAACAAAAAGCCTTAAAAAAAAAAAAGACCTCTTGGACTAAAAGGGGCACACAAACAAGGGGATGACAAAGAAAAACTAATCTGAAGACCAAGAAGGCTCTGGAGCAGAATGATCTGGCTGTTGGTAAAAGAAAACCCATGATAACTTCCAAAATGAAGAAGATGAGACACCCACATTAAATCAACAATAGAAGCTTATCCAAGGCCTGACAATAAGAAGCGACAGTAATCAGCATTAACCGATGGTCCACAAAGCCATGAAAGAAGAGAGTGGCTTCTGATTATGAGGGCCCCTCCAAGCAACAGCCTGTTGGACCAAGTTATCTTAAGTCGAGCCTGTCAGGGATAACAACAACTCCAGGTAAGCTCCAGGTATCACAATTGGAACCAACACACATGACAGGTGGTGCAGAGACAACTAAAGGCAAAAAGTCTGACAAGCCATACAGCCACAAATGGGACAGCAGAAGACCTGCCACTAATTGACCATACAGATGGCCTTACACCCGACTTTGAAAATCCACTTGTAAGGACCAAGGTATGTCTTCCAAGTGATACTTTGAAGGAAACAGAACCTCAGGATGTGTGGGTTCAGACAATCTTGAGGTTATCTTGAGATGATTTCGGGGCTTAGTGCCCCCACAGCCCGGTCCTCGATCAGGCCTCCATCCCCAAGAAGCAGCCCGTGACAGCTGACTAACCCCCAGGTACCTATTTTACTGCTAGGTAACAGGCCCATCAAGGTGAAAGAAACTCTGCCCATTGTTTCTCGCAAGCGGCCGGGACCACAGGATCACACGTCCAGTGTTCTGTCCGCTCAACCACCGGTAGCCACCCCTCCCCCCCCTCAATGAGTCCAATGTTCCAGAAACTAAGGCTGTTCCATCTACCAAAGAACAAAGAACCCTACCAGCATAAGTCTCCAGCCTAGAAAGGAAAAAGATGCCGAAATGAAGGGAAGAAATACAAAAAAACATCGTTGATTATACAATAATTAAATGCCTCTTTCTGGTAGGTCTTTGGTGGCTCCCTGTTGCTAGTTGCTCTGGATTGCTTTGTGCCTATCAAGTCACACCAGTCGCTTGCAATTCACTAAAAACTACTGAGGGACCAGAGGCCAAAACCTGACCCTCTCACAAAGGTATAGAGAGCAGGATGATCAATTGATCACGCTGCTTACTGAGAAATCAGTCACCAGATAACAAGAGGACACATCTAAACAACTCAGAAATTGAGATGCCAAGTAATAAGATCATTCACCTGCAAGCAGCAACTGATTATTACTAAGTGGCAGCACTGGGACGCTCCCAGATCCACCAGTGGAACACCCCAGTCATAAGTTGACTGAAAGCAACTAACCTATGTCCCTGGAAAGCAAGGGACCCAGGGAGCCACCAAAGACCCAAATGAAAGAGGCACTTCATTACATTCAAAGCTGGTTTTGTGGGAGGGCTCCACTGTGGCTCCATTTGCTATAACACTACAGAGAATAAAACAAAAAAGTGAAACTCACCAGGAAAATAGGAGAGTAAAAGCCTGCAACCCCCAGAGAAGAGGAGAATCAGTGACTGGGGAATCCAACCCAATGTTAAACAAGTCTGGCACAGCCACAGAACACTGACAAGGCAATACACCGCCAATACTCTGAGCCTGAATATCAGCTCAGGCTATATTAGCATATAGGATATATTAGACAACAAAGCTGCAAACCAGACAACAAATGATGCACTCCCACTACCAAAGGAGAACAAGAAGCTCCCCAACCCAACCTGGAAGCGAGAGCCAACGAACACAATGCTTTATAAAAACAAAACAAAATCACAAACTGAAAGGGTAACAGGGGACCAAGGAGAAAAGAAAAACCAAAACCCAATCCAGAAACCAAGAAGGCTCGGGAAAAGAATGACCAAGCAGGTAGTGAAATAAATGCCTGAGACAACATACAAAATACCACCAACAAAGTGTTGATGCTGAACACTAACAAAAGCGGCTCTGCCACTACCGTTCAACACAGGCGATAGCATTTGGCAATTTACAAGTGATGCGAGTGAGGCGCCACCCAAGAACACCAGAAAGATCAAACTGACCACATGCCACTCAAGTGTTCAGGTACAGTACAAGTCATGCAAAACCTCCACGGAAAAGAAAGAGTTTGTCCACAAGTCAGGAAAAAGCAGGAACCTCATAATGTAATCAATAAGCAGAGGCAGACTGCTTATATCGTTCTGTTCTTATTCAGACTGCTTAAGTTCCTCTTTAATTTATAAATATGATTTCACTGTCTCTCATACAGGTTTTTTGTGACTGCTCCAAACACAATCTAATTCTGCTTGGGAGCCATTTATGGACAGAACTTCATTTGTTTTTAACCAAGCCTTGAATGTTGGCACATAAAAATGACTTTCCATTTTTTAAGAGTAATTTCTAGGAGGCTGTGATAAGTTCTTTTCCGTCTTCATTCTGATGCAAGAGTAGTATTGTTTAGGAAATGATTCATCCAGTTTTGGTAGTAGTAATGGTACTGTGGAGTGTGGTTGTTTCTGCTGAACTGGGGAGTGTAGGTTGTGCATGCTTCATGAATGAATGTCCAATTTGGAGTACAATCTTCTGCATTTCTCCATCCCCTCCCACACATTTGCATTGTTTTGTCTGCTCCCATAACCTATCTGCCCAGCCCTCTTTCTGTATGCTTTTAAAACCATCTTAAAATTGCAGGGTAGTGGGCTTTCCATCTCAAATTCAGTTTCTCTCGCATGTGAAATTCTGGGTATTCGTGATCCTAGCATTTCCTATTGTCAATTAAAAGCTAACAATTTAGAATTTAAAAATCTGCAATTTGCATGCTTGCTTCATTAGCACATTCCAACATTTTAGGGTATGGGTGAAACTGCATTTTGCACCTTTGGTTCCATATCTGCAATTTTTCATGTGCAGTGATTCTGTTGTACATGTGCAGTGGATCTGTATGTACTCTTGTGCTGGTATTTGCAACCTGATCTTATCTTTGGTGTCAGCTACGTCTTCTAGAATTTATGTTTATCTATATCTGCTCTGTTGCTAATGTGGCTCTCATTATTAATGTTATAATTTGGCCTGTCAACATTGACGTTATCATTTTAACCATCAATTCTGTTATTTTTCACACTAGCAATGTGGCTGTTGAATTTAGTGGCTTATGCAGTTTGTTGCGTGTTAGAATTAATCTTATTCAAATTTGCATACATACATGACAATTGCTCTGCAAAGGTCAGTTTATGTACATCGGGCACCTCTCTAATCAGTTTGATTAGGTCTGTTCAGATCTATCTGTCTCTAACCAGTCCAGGGAAGATAATTCTGTGCAGCCCGTATGGAATCTTTTTTTCCACATTTTATACCTCGAGTCTTGCCTCAAAATGGCTTGACACCTCCCACAGTCTGACATGTTGCTTAGCTCATCCTGGGTAGTCCTGTTATTTTCCCAGGAAGAACTATAGTTACTGACTGTTCACGGCAAATAATGTTGCATTTTCGTATTTGTGATATTTGCTTAGCACCTTTATGCTAGCTGTGATTACAGAACCATTAGGCTCTGTAATCACAGATCACCAGAAAACTACTGATGGGCCAACCCAGAAATGTTTCCACACTACATGCAATACCAAATTAAATACAGTATAAAGAAATACTGTACTGCCAAAAGTGTGTACAAGTAAGAAATATGAAGATTCAATTAGTAAGTGTAAATATGACCTAACACAAGAGAAGCTGGATGCAAGGAAGCCTTTTATGTCTATCTCTCTATGGCAGTACAGTATTTTCATGTACATTAAAATCCCATTTGTCTACAGCATCACCTGAACTCCATCATAGTATGTAAAACAATGCAATGAAATGAAAATAACAAAAACATAATGAAAATAAAAATGCATATTAAGCATGCACTTATCAAATTATATTTTAAAGTACTATACTTACCACAGTTGTAGCACCGACCATAACCCCCATAGTATACATTTTCATCCCCAGATAATGAGGAAGAATCTGTATTGACACTGGTATCAGTAGTGTCAGTACTGCTGCTCAGTGTAATTGCCTCTGATATTCCAGTTTCTCTTCTTTGAGAAACTGTTCTGATATTATTATGACTTTGATGCGCTGGTTCTCTTCTCTGCTGTTGGATGTTTAATGCTTGAGGAGCTGCAATGATTTCTCCAATCATCTGATTGTGTCCAGTGTGAATTTGTCTTGCCTGTGCTTGGACTTCTCTTTGCCTTGTGCTGTAAGTTGAGAATTATTCATTAGATCCTACTACAATGGGATCTTCCGGGGTACCCAAGCCACTATTACCTGGAAAGTGTCGTCTAGAAGTCGGAGGCCTCCAGTATCTATCATGTATGTAATTGTCAGTATAAGCTCGAGATACTTCAGCTCTATGACTGGAAGATGAGCGGCGGGAACCACTACTAGTCTCATTACGAGCAAGTGGACCAGATACATTTTGCACTGGTCTTAGAGGTTCATTTCTTGACACTGGCATCCGTCTTCTTTCAACATGATGAGCATCCACAGGGGGCCTGTTGGTGCTAACATTATCTGGATGCACATGGCCCCCCCACCTGTAATAACACCACCACATGCCTCTGTTAGTTCAGCTAAAATTATCAGTTATTAGAAAGCAAAATTGTATCACAGTTGATGAGGCATTTACTAATCAGGAAAACATTTGAAAATACTGTACCTACCTAAAAGGCATGAGTACATGTCAATTTTTTAAAAGCAATCAGTACAAAAGCCATTACTGATCTCTATTTGCTCAGTAACATGCATTTTTTAATAACTATTTACTGGGAATATAAATAATAAAATGTCTAACAAGATTTTCTAGTGGCAGTGGTCTAGAGAGGGGGGGGGTCAAATATTATATAAACATGGCAGATCATATATATATCCTCCTCGATTCCAGGAAAACAAAGCTAATTTAAGATAAAGGTGCAATTAACTTAGCCAAATGTACCTGTGGTCAAATATTAATTTATGTCAATAAAGTCTATTAAAGAGAGAGCTTTAAAATATGGTTCTTCATGCTGAGTTCAAGGCAACTCTTAGCTGTCCGTGTCAAGTACAATACAGTACTGTACAATATCTAGATTGTGTAATACATCTGTGGGGTAAATCACCCACGTATAGTAATATTTTATTCTGACCTCATAATTATTTCCAGCCACATGGCATAATTATGCATGGTAGTCAAGAAGGTAGGTCAAGAAGAAGATAACCTCAAGATAGTGTTCATGCTAACAGCTACTGAAGAATAAATATATCTTGGCCGCATATTTCTTTAAGTAAGAGGAATTAAAGAGCAGTACGTATAAGAGTTAGGTATACTGATCCCTGAACAAAGTTGTCTGCCACTGTTAAAGCAAGAGATTAAGGAAATACCAGGTGTGAAAAAGTGTGGAGAATGTTTAGTCATGACTAAATAGTCACGAGATTGCACAAGAAGCAAAGATATTTCATTCAATGATATTTTTTTAGATTTCACTTAGCTATATTATGTATAATATAATAAGACAATTTGACAAGTGTCTAATATAATTTATATTAAGGATGAATGGAACAAAGTAAAAGACTGGTGATAGCCGTATTCCATTAACCAGATTGGTTCACCTACTCAAGACCGGTACCAAAATCTGACTCACTCAATAGAGAGAATGGGAATCTGGGGGATCAAAGATCACCACAGTAACCAAAAAAGACCACCAGCAAGGTACAGCGTGCCAAAACAAACAATGGCATGGATTACATTTGCAATGCTGATTCTAGCTACTTATGTGTGTATGTGCTCCTTACACTCTTGGCCATGGCTCTCCTGGTTGGATCACAATCCGCTGTGATCCAACCTAACCTAACCCCACCTGGGACAAAGACAGTCACACACGTGACCCAAGCATACCCCCTCTCCCGAAGCCTTATATAAGACAGCTCAGAGCAAGCAAGCTGCAAAAGATGAAGGGGTATCAAAAATCATCAGTGGGGATCAGTCTCTGGGTTATCCAAACCAGAACAGCAACACGAACAGCGCAAGTGGGAAACCTCTCCTACAAAGTAGCAGCCACCCGATAAGCACCACCCTGAAGGAGGCTCAGCCAAATTAGGACCCCCAATGACAACACATGGCATAGGCCTTAGGAAGCTATCCTGTACCCAAGAGAAAGCATGGCAGAGCCAGAATGAAAAACAGTCGGCATTGAGTAAAACTGAGGTACCTGTATATCCCTGTAATTTATGTCCCAATGGGTATGGTCCCCGAGGACCATACCTAGTGGGACCGCCAACTCATCCCAGCCAACAGAGAATAGCAGGTCAACAATTCTTCCAGGTGGAATAAGCACTGGCTTCCCAGAAAGTTACACAAATAGGTACACATGCCAGGAACAAGGAAAACATTGTCTGGAAGTTGGCAACCTTACCTTGATCTATACCTAATGAGGGAAGGCATACGAGACCATTGATAAGGAAGAATAATTTAACATGAGAGACGGAATCCATATTCATCACAGCATTTCTGGTTGAAAGAGCGAAATGGAAGAAGGCATAGAAGTGCACCTGGCCTCACTCGAAGCAAAATACAAGCAGAGAATATATAATGTGGGAGGTACAAAACAATTATTTAATATAAATTGAACAAAACAAAGCAATGACCACTCATGGCAAAACTATTCCAGAGATAAGGCAACACCACTTAGCTGAAAAAATTAGCATTGCAACGATCCCCCTTTGGTGACTGATACCGTGTGAGGGAGTGAGGTGGGAGGTTGGTCATTACTCAGGGTGACCTCGACTGCCATCTGATGGCAGCTGGGTGCATCAGGGGTGGGGATTTTTCACCTATGGCAATGATCAGTTGCCTTGCTTGGCTCAGGGCTCATTTATTTTTTTTCAAGCAGTCACTTGTTTTGTTTTGGTTAACCTTTCTGGTGGTGTTTCCTCAGTTTTGGAAAGATCTCTGATCTTGCCTCAAAGAGCATGCTAGATTCTAGTCCTACCTCCTGGTAGGTCAGAGGTTAGCATAGGTCTCAGAAACCTGGTTTACCAGTACCAGCAAGTAAGCTCAACAGAGCTACCGAGTTGATTCTACCAGAAAAAAATACTGTACAGTATATATAAAATAATCCAGTAATAAAAATTAAGTACTGTACCCATAATCAAGATACCTGATAATCCTTACAAAGCTTAAAGTTGTTAAACCACCTCCATACTCACCTAGGGTGAGAGAATGATTACCGATGCAACCTGAGAAGGTAAATCTACGTAAGAGTGCGCACTTGCCTAGCACTAAAATAATAAAATTATACACTTTTAAAGAATACAACATGCACAATACCCCACTTTACAACAATAATAATAAATGTTTCATTATAAGCCTAATCACTAAAAAATTAATATAAATACCCAAAGAATACAGCATGACAAACAGTATCTTCCTTACAAGCATGTGTGTCTGAGTCTAAAGAACTTCTCACCAAATATTACCCACATGTACACCAGCTGATTGACAGTTGAGAGGCGGGACCAAAGAGCCGAAGCTTAACCATCTGCAAGCACAACTAGGCGAGTACAACAAAACAGGCACAGTAAAATAGTAGCATAATTTACCCAGAAAAAATATATGCCAGACTGATGTTCGGCATTGCTTATATCATTCTGAAATTCGTATCTACTACACCCATATTGCATACTTTTATATTTAATGGGAGAGTTTTCACTCTTAAATACTGTACTTGCAACATATCAGAATAACTTTTATCTGTGCACAATATGTAATGTATTTATATTTATTATTTACTCCAAGATCTTAATACTCTTAATATGCAACTGGGACCCATTCAAGCTTGTTCGCATTTGTGTTGCTCACGATTTGATTTCATCAAATCACCTCACCAAGTGAGATGATTTGATGAAATACCTATGCCCAAGTTGACCACCAAGCGCTGTCGGATCTTGGATAAATAGTTTCACGACTACCAAGATTTTGTACAGTGTGGTCTAGCAGTAAAGGTACCAGGTGCATAGTGCTCCCGGCTGTATGTATGTATGTGTGTGTATGTATGTATGTGTATGTATGTATGTGTGTGTATGTATGTGTATGTGTATGTATGTATGTGTGTGTGTGTGTGTGTGTGTGTGTGTATGTATGTATGTATGTATGTATGTATGTATGTATGTATGTATGTATGTATGTATGTATATATGTATGTATATATGTACTGTATGTATATATGTACTGTATGTATATAGGTATGGTTAGGTTCGGTCATATATATATATATATATATATCATTTCATAAGAAAAAAATATATATATATATTAGGCAAATCGGGCCTTATATATATATATATATATATATATAGATTCATCAATATACAATATAGTCATATTTACCCAAAATGTGACAAAGGCTTAATGTTGGAGATGCTAGGAAGAATTACAACCTACAATAAAAGCTAACATTTAAACAAGTCACCAAGGCTTTATATATATATATATTGCAACACACTCTACAAAAGTCCACATACATATGCTTTATTTTATTATCATTATTTTGCCACCAGTATTAGAAATGTTAGTATTTATCTAAGTAACGCCCCCATCCACCAATGCTACACAAGTGTAAACACTAGCACCAGGCATGAGAATATGTGAAGATAAAACCACAGCACTATTCAATCCCGACTTTAGGAATCAGATTTGACCAAACAACACACTAGAAGGTGAAGGGACGACGACGTTTCGGTCCGTCCTGGACCATTCTCAAGTCGATTTCACAATCGACTTGAGAATGGTCCAGGACGGACCGAAACGTCGTCGTCCCTTCACCTTCTAGTGTGTGGTCTGGTCAAATTACTTTAGCCACGCTATTGTGACTCATGGCCTGCTTTAGGAATCAGACAAACAAGCAAGAAATTGTTTTTAAATAGATACAAATTACAACATGATCTTGGAATCGTATGCATGTTGTCATTTAAAAAAAATATAAAAGCCCATTAACTGGCAAAAAAACAGGAGCAGGTAAAGATCAGAAGCAACGACGACGGGGGTCTTGAAACAAATTGTTCCTTTCGAGGAGGCATCCACTATGCAGTATATTAACCCCCCTGCACTGCACACCTGTTTTTGGCAAAACTGTCATAGTGCAATTGTTAAGGACATATTTTTGCTGTTTTTATAAATGTTCAGGTAAAGTTAATGTCAAAATGTTTCCAAACTCAACTATTTTCATTTCAAAACACAAAGAATGATGAAAACATTAAAAAACCTTAAAATATAGCCTAAGTAAAAAAATAGCACAACTCTCAGAACGACTTTTTGTTGGCTGGCGCAGTTACGGGGTTAAGTAGTTAAGTGGTTAAGGGGTTATAACAGCAACAATAAAAAAATTTAGAATAATGATAAATGGTCTGAATCCTTGTAAAAAAAAATTAAATATAGTGCAAATATTTCTTGCCTATTTATTTTGCATATATGGTGTACAGTAACTAAAATTACTTTTTATTTTTTTACTCTATATTCCTCCTTATCTAGTACAGTAAAGGGACCAGGTTAAATCCCTGTGCATGAAAGAAATATTTAGGCATGTTTCTCTTCACGCGACTCCATTCACCCAGCAGTAAATAGGCATCCGAGAGTTCGGCAATTGTTATTGGCTGCATCCTGGAGAAGGTCAGTAACTGGCCAAGTCGGACATCGACAAGCCTATGTAGAGGCTTCTTAGCCACGACATTATGAGGACAATTATGTCGCGTTTACAAGTTAGAGATACCTTAAAAGGATAGGAGCTGGTTATTGGAAGTCTTTTTTTTTTTTTTTTTTTTTTTTAATCTTAAAAGGCCAAGAAAAGAATATCAGAACCCCATTTGTAACAAGAGAGATAAAGCAGCATTATGGAGCATGAACTGTCTTATGCCCACAAGAGCATTTTTGGCTAATTCAGGCATAGATAATTTAACCTGAATGTTTACTACACCCCAGCTATATTTATTTATATATACAAGAATTCTTACATTCTTGTAAAGCCACTAACACGCATAGCGTTTCGGGCAGGCCCCTAATCCTATTGTTTTCCCTGGAAAACGACCTGCCAAATCATTTAACAACCAGGTACCCATTCATTGCTGGGTGAACAGAGACTACACTTAAGAACTGGCACCCGGTCAATCCTCCCCGGCCAGGATATGAACCCAGGCCAAAGCACTCACGAAGCGTCGGGCGAGTGCTTTACCACTACACCACGGGGACTTCTATATATATACACCTCTAATTCAACTACACAATCACAATAATGAATCTTGAGAAGAAATTCCCTCTGCAGATACTACTTCCAAAGATTTTAAAATAAAACTTACCCATTTCTATTTCTTCCTCTGCCGCCTCTTCTGCCCCGACCCCTTGGTGCTGCTGCTGCTGCAGCTGCTGCTTGAGCTTGGGCTAGAGATGCTGCTTCAACAACAGCTGTGGGGGATATAATAAGAAATATTACAAACAACCATCAAAGATACACAAAGGATTTAAAAAAAATGCAAACAGCAGCAGACCATTATACACAAATGGTTTGTAATGGTCTGATTGTTTATGGAGAGCTAGTGGTGGTATAATGTAAGGTTTGGCTTTCAAGAAAAGTACATTTCTAATCAGTTTGTAAATGTACACAAGGTATTACATAGAGGTATATAATTTGGTAAGCACTTCCCTATGTTTACTATGAAATTAAAAAAAATATATTTTGCTTTGAGTGAAGATGTTTGACTTCAATTTTAAAGCCATTGTTTCAAGTGATATTAGACAATGCAATATTAAAGCATTTTTTAAGTAAAGATTGTCATGCCTTTTATTGACCTTAAATACTTGTATTAATTAAATCACTTAACAAGATTGAAGAAATTTGGCTCCCTTAAATAGGCTTCAGATGATTTATTAACCCTCATACTGCTTACTGATTTTTTTCCCTATCTAGATGTGCATAAACAAATTCTCTATACAACCTTTATTTCTGATGTGGAGGGAAAAAAAATTATACAGGTAATTATCTTAGTTTGGCCACAGTGAGATGCAGAAATGTTACTGTCATATTCTGAAAATTAATTTTCAGGTAAAATATTTTGAATATATTTCTCCTTATAAGTTTTCCTGGCACATAAAAATTCTTGAAATTATGCAGTGTAAATGTTCCTCAGTATAGGCATCAGTAAATTTACTGATCCACTTACTGATGCCTATACTCAGAAACACTGACACTACGCAAAATTTCAAGAGTTTTTATGGACCAGGAAGACCCATAAGGAGAAATGATAAAGACAAATCTATTCAGGTGATGCACCCAAAATGGTGCCAATTGTTTAATACTGCACAGGAAGGAAAGAAACAATTGGCACCTGAAATGGTGCCAATTGTTTAATACTGCACAGGAAGGAAAGAAACAAACCAAGGCTTTCAGATTTGTTTCCCAATATGGCAAACAATTGCCAGAGGTCTCTAGTGTAGAATGACAACCACATAAAATATTTAGCTTTGATTATTGAGGCACTTCAAATCTTTCACAAACTGCAGGAGCGCCATGGATCAATTGTTTCAGACTGACAAGAGCAGGTTTAAGGGTTAACCTTACGAGCTACTCATGCCCGTGCCACCTCTTGGGTGGCTTAATATTCATCAATCAATCAATCAAGGATTAATGATTCACAAAAGCCTGATCAAATTTAACAATGGAGGAGCTATCCAGGTGGTAAGCAGCATGGAGCCAACTCTGAGCCCTCCTAGAAATGACAGGGGGAGGCAGACAGGGACAGAGAGAGAAATTTCCTTAATGCAGCCTCAAAAGCAACAGCAATGCTTGTAAAATAGTCATTACTGTAATTGTCTCACTGTCATTCACTGTTTCTAGTTATGTAATCTTTCGATAAAAATAACATCTAATATCTGGTTTAGAGAACATATTAACAATGTTTGCATATATATACAATACCTTTCCTTTCTGCAACAATCTCTGCTCTCCTTCTCTTCATTTCTTCCGATAAGGTTGGCACAATCTTCTCGATGAAATTATCAACTACAAGAGAGCGTGTCTCAGACGTAATGGGAGCACGGCAGTTTGGACACTCTTTCTTATTCTTTTTCCATTGGTCAATACAGTATCTGCAGAATGTATGGCTGCAATTCAGCATTATGGCCTGAAAATGAATTTGATTAAAATAATAATCAGTGTGGTCAGGGTGGTAATTGCACTGGTAATGTTAGTACATTTGTTTAATCCTTTCAATGCTGGTACAGTAATAAAAAAAAAATTCTACCGATACCCCCACCCCATAAAACTTGTGACAGCCGGTACTACCATCAGAAACAAGTTGTCCTAATACTAGTTAATAACCAATAGTTGGAAGAGCAATAAATAGGTATCCAGTGATGCCTGTTTTTTTTTAGGGTAGGGCTCTTGACTAAAACAGATTTATGACTGATAGCAACCAGTCCCACAGTGGTGGATTCAGCTAAACTCTCCACTGTCTTAAATCCCAACACTTGCAGTGGAAAGGCCATTTGAAAAGGTCCTTATCATTGTTAGGAGACAAGTCAAAGAAAGAGCTAAAAGAAAAAGGTGATGCTGACCAATGAGACTCACACATCCCTAAGACTCTTTAACATAGATGAGTTTCATGTTAAATACCCTAAACTTACAGTGATGAAGAGCTCATTGCAGATGGGGCATTGGAATTCATTTTCAAGAACATCAGAAACAGATTCCACAACCTCCTTCCTTGCATGTTCTGATGCTACTGCTGTTGACGCAAGCTCTTGTTCCAGTGACATTTTCTGGGCTTCCAGAGTTTGCAGAGCTTCATGTAAACTAGCTAACTGAAAAACAAACAATAATATAAATTTAATAGTAAAACCAATATGAAAATTAAATATATAATTTCTCCCCCAATCTACCAGAGCATGTGACCTTCCAGCCCTAAACAATGGAGGAGGACGAGAAACCAAGTAAACAAAAGAGGTACACACTGGCCTCCAGTAGCCATCTTGGCACGCACATTCAACACCAACTGCTAAACTTGCACATCACTCCTATCACAGGTAAAATAAATCAGGCTAGTACAACAACAAACTTTATTATTTATTTCCAGCCTTTAACCCAAAATAATATTTACACAAAATTTTATTAGTGTCATTCTAAATTGACTTGCGTGTATGAATGAAGCTTTTCTCACCTGTTCATGGTCATGAGCTTGAGCATGATGTAGCTCTTCTTGTAATCTGCTCTTATCTTCAAGTACTTGTTGCAAATCCTTCATGGCCTTCTCATGCACTACGGCTGTAGACTTCTCCACTTCCGCTGTTACTCTCTCTTGCATTCCTCTTTCCAATGACGACTATTTGAAAAATAAAAAATCCAGCGTTGAATGTAATGAAACGTCTTTTTCTGTTGGGCCACTCACTAGCTGCCTGACACTATAGCTGATCCGCAACCAAGCCTTAAAGAACACACTCACAAATGCCTAATGGAGACCAAAACCAGAGTTTAGCCCCTTAAAGAAGCAAAGTGGAGTCGGGGATCAGATCACCACAACACAGTACCAGGAAAATCAAACCAAAAAGCAAACAAGTGCTCTGAAACAGGCAACTGCTTAAGAGTAATTTGTAACCCTGATGATGGCAAAGCAAATAATTGTTACTGCAGCAAAATCACTGCCTAGATATAAGAAGTGTGGTATAAGAACTTCAGCTTCTGCTTTTATTTCCTCAATATCCCCTCTTTAAATTACATTTTCTTTGTTTGGATCTTTGTGTTTGTAGACACCATAGCCTGCCCAACCAACAGAGAAATGAGGTAAACCTCTAGCATAAAGACAATTTAATCTCCACATAATCCCATCAACTCTTTGAAATGGCAAGATATCATTCTGACTCCAAGTTAACCAATAGTCACAAGATCCTGACGTGTAGTGTCAGTGTTACAAGCTTTAAGATGTTTTCTTGAGGGGTACAGCACAAAGAATGGTCATGTTATATGGCTCCCACTATCAGGAACAGGATGCCTATTATGCATACCTGGTTAATGGGGTTCTGGGAGTTGTTCTACTCCCCAAGCTCGGCCCGAGGCCAGGCTTGACTTGTGAGAGCTTGGTCCACTAGGCTGTTGCTAGCAGCGGCCCACAGGCCCACATACCCACCGCAGCCCAGTTGGTCCGGCACTCATTGGAGGAAATTATCTAGTTTCCTCTTGAAGATGTCCACTGTTGTTCCGGCAATATTTCTAATGTTCGCTGGGAGTATGTTGAACATATATCAAGATCCCCCCCCCTAGGCCAATAACTAACCTTTACCACGATGCAAACTGCAACAGTTCCTAACTTCGGGGTGTGCACCTATTTACTTCAAGATAAACAGAGGCACCAGGGCCATGTTAACATTCCCAAACATCTGGTTCTGCTCAGGAATCGATTTCAGGACCTTTCGGACATAAGGTAACTGCATTCATAGAATTATCTTTAACTTTTTGTAGCTTTGTTGAACTAATTATTTTTTAGTTTCACTAATTATTCAAATAACTTTGGTTTTAAGAGTAAATAAATCAAGTTATTTCATACATTGTGTGAAGTAACGTGAAACAAAGAACATATGAATAATCTAACTAGAACACCCATTTCCCCTACAACCAGCATAATTGCCGACCCATGAGTCCACATACCCAATGACTTCTCCACCTGGATCCTCTCAATTTGTATGAAACAATGACATTTATTTTTATTTTTTATTTGTTTGCATTTTCTTTACTTTGTTCATGTAAATGTATAATTTTATCCAAATTCTTGTATTTAATTTCTGTTGCACACATGAACCTGTGTGCAAAATCTGTTATATGATAACCACATTTAAATAGAAGTACTGTTTCGGCATTTATGGCTTCAGAAGTTAGGCAATTCCAAGGGTTTATTACCCTATAGGCAAAAAAGCATCTCCTGTTTTCTGTTTTACATTGTAGCTTGTTGAGCTTGCAGCTGTTGCAAGCTCAACAAGCCACAATGTTGTTGTCCCTTGTGTGTTACATTCGACCTTTTAGAGAAGTGATCTAGAATAACATCTTCAAATTTGTTCAGCATTGCCAAAAGTCTCAATGAGATCAGTCTTGCTGTGCTTGGTTTGTTGTGTTATTAGTCCTGTGACCTTCAGCTGTTTCTGGCATGAGTATCGACTTATTTCTGCATTATTTTTCTCACTCTGAGCTGAACTTTCTCTAAAACAGGTATGTTTTTTTTTATGGTGAGGTATTCCATGTATTATGGTGTCATATTTATGGCACTTGTCAATTTTTCAAAAACCTGTGACACTCAAAATGAAACAAATCCTGAAATTATTATTACATATAAGTAACATATAGTACATATACATAAGTAACAGTATAAGTAACAGGGAGGCCTGGTCAACGACCGGGCCGCGGGGATGCTAAGCCCCGGAAGCACCTCAAGGTAACATACCAAGAGCTACTATACTTACCAATTTACTGCGCAATTCCTCCTCCTTGTCCTTGAGTTCAGAACCAAGAAGAGCATTTGTTTGCTCTTTTTCAGCAAGTGCATTCTTAACACTTTCAAGTTCCCTCATAAGATTACATCGCTCCTGAGCCAACTCATCTTTCAACTTCTGTTTCTCTTGTTCAGCTTGTTTCTGCTCTGCCTCCTTGGCCCGGATAGCTGACTCCTTTTCTTGCACCTGTGCAAGATAATACAACTATGAAGTAAAGGCAAATCCTCAACCTTCAACATGCAATAAGTGATAAGTCATTTCACAGTCCAGTGTTCTTTGCTACCTTGGCACATCTAGAGGGAAAATGCATTACTTTTATACTACAGTACTTCACTTTCATCTAATACAGTGTGCTTCAAATAAGCCTTTACTATGGATATTTTTATTAGTAATATAGGTAAAATCTGCATAAAACAATACAGTGAGAAAATTTAACTAGTCATGTAAAATTATATTCAACTAAAAAATATAGTATGTAATATTTTGCACGAGCCATATACCGTAGTAATATTTTGCATGCACATAATATGGACAAAAGAAGCTTATTTAAATTATAAGGAGGTAGGACAAGGAGACATCAGTAGAAGCTGGACATGCATGAGAATAAATAGAGAATCTTTGATGAACAGTATCCTTTATAAATTTTTATGCCATACAAAATCTTTTCTATCTATTAAAAAAGTAGGTTTCATACCTGCTGTCTTAACTCTGCTTTGTGACTCTCTGTAGCTTTAAGTTGATCCTGAAGGCGCTTACGTTCTTCTTCTAGCTTGAGCTCAAGGTTGGCCTTTTCCTTCTCTAGTCGGTGGAGAACACTCTCCTGTGTACGAGTTTTCAAGGATCATTAACATAAATCATGTTATAGTGCTTCTACTTTTATGAGCATATTTAGTAGGTTAAAAGTAGATACAACTACTTTTACAGTAGATACAACTACACAGAAGCCAGGTATAATTTGCAGGAACACCCCCTGTACTGCACAAATTAATAATTTTATACTGATAAAGATCAATTTAATTGTTCTATACAGTACGTCATAAAGTAAACAAAATAATTCTCCAATGCACTTTCTATTATCAATCCAGTAAGGTTTGGCATAACACAAAAGTTAACAATGCTATCTCACACCTTTTCCTGGAGAATACGGTTTCTTTGTTCCTCCTCTTTTCTTGCACGCTCCTCCAACGTTTTACGTTCATCATCCAACCGGCCTTGAAGCTGTGTTACCTATTGAATCACACATTAGGGTAACACAAATAGGTAAATATAAACCCTAATATGCTAATTTTAAATATACAGAATTAACAAAGGGTATTGTAGGTCCAGTATTATTGGTTCTGGAAAATGGTGGAGTTTAGGTATCAGCTAAACATAATGTACATTATATAATTTGACCAACCTCCATAATATAGTACATGTGTAAGCTGATTAAGTTAATCAGCTTGGTACAGGTACCTCTCACACCCTTAAACATGGAACACCTAAAGTGTATGCCTATCTATGTACCTTAAAGACTCTCTCCCATGGTACTCAAGGAAGTACCATGGGAGAGTACTCAAACCCCATTCTAGGTTTCCAAGGCCTGGCGTACGGCTGTGTGGTGGTGATGGAAATCAACTTCCAACACCACCACCATAGCCATATGCCAGGCCTTTGGAACCTTGAAAGGGGCTTAAGTGAAGCGCCTAACATCTATATCATCATCTACAGAGATCATCTATAATAAACACCAAAGTACTTGTTCACATTCCAAGGAGCTGCCAAGCTTCTATGTCCTCCTTTGATAACTATACAGCTATTGCCCTAAAGGCCCTAAACACTATTAAACCAAGTACTTGAGTGTATATTCATTAACACACTATATGATGAACCAGATACTTCCGACTTTCAGTTTCCATACAAAACTGGTTATTCAACGGTATTCTTGGATATTGAAGTACTGTATTCAGTACTATAACTCACAGGGTGGCTCTGTTCTCTTTAAAGTTTCTTGATGCTTGCAAAGCCTTTGGCAAAGCTGAACACACCAAACATTTTAGAGAATTGCTTAGTAAAAAAAAAGTGGTCCTGAAATTGCTAGACATGTATCTACATTTCTTATAAGGTGTGCAAAGTAGCTGTGAAATGGAGAAGTGTCCTCTGAAAAATTTTTAGTGAAGAATATGAGTCAACTTAAGTGCTGTTTTCAGTCCACTATTATTTGCAATCTATGTTGATCCACCATTGAAAGAGTTAAGAGGCAGTAGAGCTGGCTGAAATAACATCTCCAGAAATAACTGGATAGTTAAGAAATATAACTAAAGGAGGATTAATGTACGTAATGGTGCAACAATTCTACAAGACAGAATACAACAACTAGTCAGCAGATAAAGTGGGGAAACCCACAGCTGGATATTTGAAATTATGAAGGAATTACTGCCACAAAGAGATGGCTTATTGACAAGCGTTTAAATCCTGCCGAACTAAGACCTGTGTATTCAGAGTTATTCTGGTCCAAGCTAGCCCATAAGTTGATATAAAATGCTAAGGGTGGGCAAATTTCTATAACTTCATGGTAAATTAGTTAATATTAGTTCTAGACATTGTCTTACTATCCTAATTTTATTATATATATTTTACCAATATCTGTCTTGCCACTCTAATTGCGAACTACACATTGTTTTATCAATAATTTTATTTATTTATTTATTTATTTATATATATACAAGTCCTTACATACTTGTAAAGCCACTAGCACAAATAGCATTTCGGGCAAGTCCTTAATCCAAATTTTTCCCCGGAATATGACCCACCAAATCATTTAACAACCAGATACCCATTCACTGCTGGGTGAACAGAGGCTACAGTTAAGGATTGGCGCCCAGTCAATCCTCCCCGGCCAGGATACAAACCCAGGCCAAAGTGCTCGCGAAATGCCGGGCGAGTGCTTTAATACTGCGCCATGGGGGACTGGATGCAGTGGTTGAATATACATCATTCAAATTGTAATCTAAATGTTATTCAAAATTATTGCAGTAAAAATAAGTATGATTTACAATGCTGTATACCTGTTCAGTCCAGCCAGAATTCTAATGATTTCCATGAGTACTTACAAAGAGTTTTATTCTAATATACTTGGAGAATTTTAATTTGCTCTTTGCATAAGTAAACAATTGTGTTTCTTAGTTCTTGGGTGACTTCTTTTTGTATTTCTTCAATCCTGTATGAGTGCTCTTCAATTCTTGTGCTATCTTACAAAAGGAATGTCTGTGGCACATGATATATAAATCAAATAGAGGTGCAAGGCAAAGATGATTCCAAAGACTAACCTGCATCTCTAAATTCTTGGCAAGAGCTTCCTTCTCTTCCAGCATTACTTGCTGAGCAAGAGCACCAGCCGCAAACTGCATCTCCAGCTGCTCTCTTTCATGCTGATATCTGACAACAAAGTAAAATGCGCCCAGAATTAACACATCACCTGTTTTCATGCTAAAACTTACAAAGAAATGGAGTAAAGGTTATAAAAATATGACACGAAGTGGTAATTGTTGAATTGGGCAGTTTGCTAGTTATGGTTTTTCTTTCAGATATTATTTGACTGTCCTCATGGTTTCAATAATCATTTGGATGGGTTGTTGAAAAGTTCAATAATATATGTATTGAAAACCGATTGCTAGGGAGAGGACACTCCAGCCTCGGCAACCTTAGTGGTGACTATGGGCTCACCATAGCCCGTGCTACTTGGAACTATTTGTTCCGGGTAGCAAATCTTCAACAACAACAACTCGGCAACCAGAGCACAACTGCATGGTCTCCCCGAGACTGCAGGATGCCTACTATTGTGTTATAGCAATCAGTTTTCCTTGGTGGTGGCCTGATATATGCTCTCCACTATACTCCCCTACTATTATGCTAGCTTGGCAGGATAGCAGAGACCCTGAGTGAAGCCACGAATAGGGGACCGCCTATGGGGACCTTTCCCACAAAACCTGACTTAAAATGAATACACAAAAATCTTAAGTGTAGAGATAAGTCACAATAATGCAGCTAAAACAAATAACTCAACCCACACATATGAATGAAATGAAAGTGACAATGTTTTCGTCCATCTTAGACACTTACAGAGCTAATAAGGGTCCAAGACAATCCAAAACATTGTCACTTTCATTTCACACCATACGTGTGGTTTGGGTTATACAGTATTTGTTAATGTCATGGAGTGGGGATTTTCTTACTTTTCTTGTAACTGTTCATGCTGCTGATGAAGTGACGTGCGCAACTGGTCTCTCTCTTGTTGCAATCTTGCTTGCAAGGCATCACTCTCTTTTAACTGCTGTTCAAGTATTGCGTGTTCTTGACTAAGGTTGACTTGTACACTACTCCTGCATAAAAAAAAATAATCAATAAATAGTACAGTAATATAAAATTTATGAAACACATAAATATGAGTTACAGAAAAGAATGTCATATATGTTTGGTAACTCCAGGCACATAAAATTACAAAGAAGACAATATGCATGTAAACCTGAAGTCCCTAATAATAATGTCTTCCATTATAACGGATTATATAATAGTACATTGCTAAGAGTACAAATTAAATGCTAGATAAATTTTTGAAGAGCTAAAAATGGCCATGCTTAAGGCTAGGCTACTGTGAAAACAGGACCTGGTTGCAAAGTGCTATCAATATACAGTACTACAGGATGAGTAGCAGTAATAATTTAATACAGCCAGAGCTTCCTGAAAATTTATTTATTTTTCTGCTTTCCTTCACTACCACATAGTGCAAACTAATGTTATAAATAATTATAAATAGAAAAAACAAAATTTGATTAAGCAATTATATTTGAAGGCTTTATAGTGTACTCAAAATAAAACAAAAATACTAACCTCTCTCTCTCAGATTTGATTCTCTTGATACTACAATCTTGTGAAGTATTTCCAGGCCTTGCACCAATCACCTTCATTCCAAAGCGATAAACAAATGATGCAGGCTGGCCAAGCTGTACTGTGTCACCAACGCTCAGATCATGCTCTGTTTCCTTGGCAATGGCTTCACCATTCACATATACCCCATTTAAACTCTAAAATAAAAGAAAAACAATTACAACATTATCATTTTGCAGGCCTAGTTATACAAATACTGTATGGCCTAAATACTGTACTATCTTCATATATCACAAATAAATATGAAGAGAAATATGGTTAACTACAGCCCTCCATTTGTACATGGGCTGTCTGCAAAATCTGAGTAAAGAAAAATACAGCATTGCATGTTATGAAATGTCTCTTTCTGGTGGAGACCTCAATGGTTTCTCAAGTTGCCCACCGAGAACTTCTAAACCTTGCATGCCACACATAACTATAACACTGCATAGCAAATCACTGGAAACAGAAGAACTACCAAAAATTTGGAAGATGTCTTGATCTCACTCGAGCAACAGAGGTCGTGAGAGGAAGTTGTACTGTGTTTGTGCTCCTGGCAGTAAAGGAGGAACCTCTAGTTTCGTGCTCCGTTAAGAGGAGGGGGGACCAGTCAGGCGTTCGTGTATGAAGCCTGAGGACGATGTAGTGCTCAAGTCAGGACTAGGAGGAGCCTGGTGAGGCAGAAATATAGCGATTTTGTGGGCGACGGGTGATCGCCAATGTCGAGGGCCAGGACCTGAGCGGAAGAACGGGACCTGAGCGCGCCCCGCATGAGATAAATTCTGTGGTAAGTCTATTTAACCAGTTGTTAGTGGTTCCCTGTGATTGTGTCCCCAGCGATCGTGGCAAGTGTTTATAGGTAGAACAGGTATATTTTATTAAGGCAGTAAGTTCAAATAAGAGAGTAAAGATGAAGCAACCAGCTGGAGGTTGGTTGCAAGTCAACGTCAAGCACTCCAGAGTTTATTGTTGGTCGACCGAAGGTAGCGGGAGTGTGGCTGCCGAGGTCGGTTGTCTGTTCCGGCAGAGATTGGTTGGGGAACGTTGTTCAATTGTACGCGAGTAACAGTCTGGTGTAGCAACCAGAGCGCTTTGGAGGTTTAAGTACCATAAGCCCCAACCCTCTCAGGTTCAGGGGACATAGGCACAATCAGAGAGCACTGTCTGAACATCAGAAATCCACAGCTGTTCAACACCCTCCCAGCAATAAATACAGTATTGCTGGAACAAAGGTGGCTGTATTCAAGAGCCAATTAGGTAAGTTCTTGCAAGAAGTGCCAGACCAACCAGGCTGTAGTGGATATGTGGGCCTGTGGGTCGCTGCAAGCAACAGCCTGTTAAACCAAGTTACCACAAGTCGAGCCTGGCCGGGCTTGGGTAGTAGAACATCTCCCAGAATCCTCTCCAGGTATGCTCAAGGCCTCGGAGAAGAAAATAAAAGGTATTCAGAGAAGACTTTTTGTCTTCAATCTTCCTTCATAGCCTAGATCAGCATTTCTCAACCATTGTGCCATGGCACAGTCAGCAAAGGGTCCACAGGTGTGCCGCGGGAGCTTGAAGGAATGTCAAAAATTACAGAAATAATAAGAAATATGAACATTAATTTTAAAAACCAATCTTTTTGAATTCCATGATCAACTTTATTTTAAAAAGTAACACTATGATTAGAATTTCAACTATTAAACTTTTAAACACAATTTTAATACCTATTATTATACGCTATTTATAGTCTCTTGTTAAAACTTCAAACTGTAGCACTGCGTTTATCACTATTAAGGTCCAAGCACCATGCTACAGCTCCAGATTCAAATTTAAGGGTAGAATATGTTGTGCGTGTACATCACGTGTGGTTACTTAACTTATATACAAGTTTAATTAACTAACTCTGCAAAACAAATCATTCCTGACTGCATAATGAATGGATTTTTAAATACTTACAAGATTAGTAACAGTCCAATGATCTAATTTTCGTCTGAAAAGTGCATGCTTTCGTGATATAAGCTTGTCGAGAATTTTGTAGGCAGCATCTATTGTTCGTCCAATTAATACCTGAAATAAATAAAATATTTATGATATCCCATTATGAAATATGAATAAACTGGAAAACAAATGAGGGTGAACTTCAACTTGTACCATGTAAGAGAGCCTTACTTCTAAAGAAGAAGAATGATTAATAAAATATGAATAAATATCCATGAAAGGAAGGTTTTACCTGTTGCCAATTTTGATAGTTTTCTACTCTGATATTCTAGACAAAGGCCAGGCTATCCTGGAAGCTGCATAATCAGCAAGGCTATTACTAGTCTATTACTATTACTATAAATCCATCACAACTTAGTGATGGATTTGTAGACTTGCTGCTAATTATAAGTAAAACAAATATTTATCTATTATTTTAATTCGGTTAGGATAGGTAGTGATGGAATAAGACAGACGAGGTAAGTTAAAGTTAGGCTAGGTGTGCTTACAGAGTAGTAATGAAATAAGATGGCAGAACGGTTAATAAGATGGCCCTCAACAATTTTTAAACCCTGAGCAAATTCATCCTGATTTTTTAAAGCACCTTATGCCATCATAAACACATTAAAAATATTTAAAGCATGTAGAGGTACATACTGTAAATATATTTCTTGGCATAGTGATCTGTATGGTCTTGGTAGTACAGTAGTCGGGTTTATTCTCGACTCATATTGGAAATCCCATTTTGAAATCCTGAGTGAAATAGAAATGGTTGGGCACATTTCCTACCAACTGAATTACATGAATTTACCCGAGGGCTGCTAGCACTCGAGTAGCCTCAATGAGGACAGGAAGCTGGCTTGAGGACATTCAATCTTACATTTGTCAATATTAAAAAGCATTTGCCAGTCTTCTGACCATTTATTGAGTTTATGTAGATCTCTTTGCATCCTTGGAAAGTAAATTAGTTTGTTAAGTAGTTTGACTTGGGGAAGGGGATGGTTCTTCTATATAAGCCATATTTTAATTATTACTTAGTTATATATACAAGAGTTCTTATATTCTGGTACAGCCACTAGCACATGTAGCATTTCGGGCAAGTACTTAATCCTTTGTTCCCCGGAATACGACCCGCCAAATCATTTAACAACCAAGTACCCATTATACTGTTGGGTGAACAGAGGCTATAATTAAGGATTGGTGCCCCAGTAAATCCTCCCCGGCCAGGATACGAACCCTGGCCAAAGCACTCGCAAAACACCAGGAGTGTCTTACCACTACACCACGGGGACTGCTATGCATATACACACACACACACACTGGCTGCCTGTCCCCGACAAAATTTATTATAATGTATGGACGAGACAGCCGGTGCACAAAATACCGTGAACGTAATCTAAGACCAGCATCGGGAGGTTTCCTACGGTAGGCCTAACAGCAGGAAGCTCCCCGTCCCTGAGCCCACAACAGCACCTGACCTGAAGCATCTTACCTCATCCTCCTTGAACGGAATGACGTCGTACTGGCCGTCATTGGGAGGGAGGCGCTTCAGGTAAAATAACCTCTGCGTCCCCATTTTCTGGAGTTCATGGCAGGTGGACATTTGTGCGAGGGAGTTGTTTACTGGGCACGCCAGGGGCTACGGCCCTCAGGCCGCCTCAACTATTATCTCTATACGAGCCCAAAGATTTAAATAAAATACTGTTAAATAAATAAATAAATATATATATATATATAATTTTTTATTCAGGGAAAGTACATACATAGTTGGTTGATAAACATAATGTTGGATTTATATATAGAACTAGTACATACAATTCCTAAAGCCACTAATACGCATAGCTTTTCGGGCGTTTAAGCTATTTATTTATTTAATATTTATTTATTTATTTATTTATACACAAGAAGGTACATTGGGTTTGTGAGAATACATAGCATAGTATTTACAATCTTGTAAAGCCAGCGTTTCGGGAAGGTCCTTATTAATCTAACAGATAATTTTATTAATATTAATGTTGAAGAGCAGAGGATTACAATCACGATGCTTTTCGTGTCTTGGTTAATTAGTAATTTAGCCCTTAAATGATGATTGATAAAGATTAAGCCACCCAAGAGGTGGCACGGGCATGAATAGCCCGTAAGTCCTTAAATGACAATAGAAGGGTAAGGTAGGTTACAGGGAATTTATTAGGTATAGCTTCGCTTTTAACTTAAACTGGTTGAGAGAGGTACAGTCTTTAACATGGTTGGGAAGGTCATTCCACATTCTGGGCCCCTTGATTTGTAGAGCATTTCTAGTTTGATTAAGTCGTACTCTAGGAATATCAAAACTGTATTTATTTCTGGTGTGATGCTCATGGGTTCTGATACAACCTTCTATGAAGCTTTTGAGATCAGGATTGGCATTATAGTTTAGCGTTTTATACATGTATAATACACATGAGAGAATGTGCAGTGACTTAATGTCTAACATATTCAGAGATTTAAGTAGGGGTACCGAGTGATATCTGGGGCCAGAATTGGATATTGTCCTAATAGCAGCTTTGTGTTGAGTAATTAGAGGACGTAAGTGATTTTGGGTAGTAGAGCCCCAAGCACAAATACCATAGTTGAGATATGGATAGATAAGGGAGTAATAGAGAGTCACCAGGGCAGGGCGTGGTACATAATATCTGATCTTAGAAAGAATGCCCACAGTTTTTGAAACTTTTTTTGATATGTTTAGAATGTGTCCCTGGAAATTAAGCTTGTGGTCAATGAGAATGCCAAGGAATTTGCCATCTAATTTGTTACAAATTTGGGTATTGTTTATTTTGAGATTTATTTGATTAGAGGATTTATTGCCAAACAGAATATAAAAGGTTTTGTCAATGTTAAGGGTGAGTTTGTTGGCAGTTAGCCACAGATGGACTTTATTTAGCTCAGTATTTACTGTGGCATTTAGAGCAAGGGGATCAGGACTGGAGTAAATGAAGGTTGTGTCGTCAGCAAATAGAATTGGTTTGAGGTGTTGGGAGGCATTTGGAAGGTCATTAATGTAGATGAGAAAGAGGAGAGGGCCAAGTATGCTGCCCTGGGGAACACCAATGTTGATGGGTAGGGTGGGAGAAATTGTATTATTCACAGAAACATATTGGAGCCTGTCAGTAAGGTAGGATTTGAGGTATTGTAGGGAGTGTCCTCTGACTCCATAATGATGTAATTTAAGAAGAAGGTTTTGGTGGTTGACAGTGTCAAAAGCTTTACGCAGGTCCACAAACAACCCAACAGAGAACTCATTTTTATCAAGAGCTGTATGAATCGAGTTAAGCATACTAATAAGTGCATCGTTAGTGCTTTTCTTGGGTCTGAAGCCATATTGGCAAGGGCTAAGTATATTGAGTTTGGCTAGATATGAGTAAAGCTGCTTATAGATTAGTTTTTCAAAAAATTTTGACAAGTTTGGCAGGATAGATATAGGTCTGTAGTTGTTAACATCTGTGAGATTACCACATTTGTGGACAGGCGTTACTCTCGCTTTTTTAGAATATCTGGGAAGGTTTGGAGTTCAAGTGACTTGTTGAAGAGCAAAGCAATAGCAGGGGCTAAAGATCTGGAGGCTTTTTTGTAAATTAAAGTTGGTATCTCCTCAAGGGCACCAGACTTGGTTTTAAGGGAAAGGATTATCTCATTGACGTCAGTGGAATTAATAGGCTTTAGGTACAGAGACTGTGGATAGTTACCTGAAAGATAGTCATTAATGTCTGTACTGGAAGATGGAATATCATTTGCAAGGGATGAACCAATGGAAGAGAAGAACCTATTGAACTCAGTAGCAGAATCAGAGGCTGAAAGCTGACCATCGTTATTAGACAGGAGAGTCGGTTTGTTATTTAAAGACTTCTTTGATCCCAATATTTGAGAAATTGTTCTCCAAGTTTGTTTAATGTTGCTCTTTATTTGGGTAAATTTATCTTCGTAGTATTTAGTTTTGGCTCGTCTAATTATCTTAGACAGCAATAATGAGTAATTCTTTGAGAATTCTTTGGAGACAATTCCTAACCTATACTTCTTCTCAAGGTCATGTTTTTTATTAATAGATTTAAGTATTCCCTTTGTAAGCCAGGGATTGTTAAGCCTTTTGGTTGTGACTTGTTTTGTAAGCATAGGACAGTGGGTATTATAAAGGCTAAGAGTTTTTTGAAGAAAAGATTGCACTGCTAGGTTGATGTCCACTATGTTACCTAACTCGGACTCCCAGTTGACATTATCAGCAGCAGTTATAAAATTGTCTATAGCAGTTTCATTGTGTAGTCTAAAACGTATCACTCTTGACTCAAGAGGTGGTTTGCTAATGTTAGTTAAGAGAAATGTGGGGTAATGATCTGTAGTGCTATCGGTGATTATACCTGAAGTAAGCGGAGAGGTTATGTTTGTCCAGATGTGATCGAGCGTCGTGGCAGTGCTATCGGTGATTCTAGTAGGTCTAGTGATTAAGGGTATGAGGAAGCAGGAATTCATACAGTTGAGGAAGCTAACAGCAGTGGGGTGTTCAGGCACGCAGAGGTCAATATTAAAGTCCCCTGCGATAATTAGGTGGTTTTTGTTCAGTCTGTTATCAAGTATTAGATTTCTAAGGTTTGAGTTGAATTCAGACACATCAGTGTTAGGTGATCTGCCTAGCACTATATAGACGGTTGACCTTATTGAACCTTATTGTTGTACAAACACTTGTTTTTTTCACTTATAAAAAAGTTAACCTATTGAAATCTGTTACACGACGAAGCCGTAAACATTTTATAATAATATTATTATTTATTTACGAAAAGGTATAATGGGTTTGCGAGATTACATAAGCTTTGTGTTCTTATAGACATACCGAAGCCGTAAATGCCAACCCCCCCCCCCCCAAAAAAAAAATCCAACTGGAAAAAGTCATAAGGGCAAATTGGGAGAGCCTTTGACAAGTCACTGGCTTCCTGTCCTCGTCGAGGCCACTAAAATTTAGTTGCCCTCAGGTAAATATCCTATTAACTTCCTTCAGGAGATATTTGTAATTCCTCTTTCATTCTATGATAGTCTCTTCTAAGGTTGTCTAGACTTTTACATGAGTTTCTATAATTGTGTTCCATCTCAGGATATAGATGCCAGATGAATGTGTGAGCTTCTTATCTACCAGTGTAGCCATAATGGCTTGGTGCTTACTCCTAAATACCTTCCCTTATCTACCATGATTTGATCAATCATGCTTTCTTCTTATTTTATCTTCTGATATTATCACAAGATCTAGATTGTTGTTGCCTTGGATAGGCTCCGTCACATGCTGTATGAGAAAGGAGTCCTGTAACAGGTCCACCAAAAATATTTCCTTCCAAATGTGATGTTTAATTTACCTTTATCTATTGTCTCGTGGTAAAAATCCTCACATTTTAAGAGCTTGTGCTTCAGCGGCAGCATTTATCACATAATGTAGAGCTGTAAGTCCCTCTGTTGCGGCTGTGTCTGCCTCGGAGCATTGCTCCCACTCTCAGTTTGCTACCATCATGAGCCCCTGCTATTGCATTGCTCTTCAACAAGTCACTTGAACTCCAAACCTTTCCTGACATTCTAAAAAAGCAAGAGTAACCCCTGTCTACAAATGTGGTGATCTCACTGATGTTAACAACTATAGACCTATATCAATCCTGCCTAACTTGTCAAAAATATTCGAAAAGCTAATCTACAAGCAGCTTTACTCTTTTCTAGCCAAACACAATATACTTAGCTCTTGTCAATATGGCTTCAGACCCAAAAAAAGCACTAACGATGCACTTATTAGTATGATTAACGTAATTCACGCAGCTCTTGATAAAAAGGAGTTTCCTGTTGGGTTATTTGTGGACCTGCGTAAGGCTTTTGACACTGTCAACCATCAAAACCTTCTTCTTAAATTACATCATTATGGAGTCAGAGGACACTCCCTGCAATACCTCAAATCTTATCTTACTGACAGGCTCCAGTATGTTTCTGTGAATAATACAATTTCTCCCACCCTACCCATCAACATTGGTGTTCCTCAGGGCAGCATACTTGGCCCTCTCCTCTTTCTCATCTACATTAATGACCTTCCAAATGCCTCCCAACACCTCAAACCAATTCTATTTGCTGACGACACAACCTTCATTTACTCCAGTCCTGACCCCCTTGCTCTAAATGCCACAGTAAATACTGAGCTAGAGAAAGTCCATCTTTGGCTAACTGCCAACAAACTCACCCTTAACATTGACAAAACGTTTTATATTCTGTTTGGCAATAAATCCTCTAATCAGATAAATCTCAAAATAAACAATACCCAAATTTGTAACAAATTAGATGGCAAATTCCTTGGCGTTCTCATCGACCACAAGCTGAATTTCCAGGGTCACATTCTAAATATATCAAAAAAAGTTTCAAAAACTGTTGGCATTCTTTCTAAGATCAGATATTATGTACCCCGCCCTGCTCTGGTTACTCTCTATTACTCCCTCATCTATCCATACCTCAACTATGGTATTTGTGCTTGGGGTTCTTAACATATTGCATCATACATATTTTGAGGATCCTTTATTGTTTAATTCCTCATTGCTGGCCCCGAGCCTAAGTATGGAGAGTCCATATGAACAACTGAACCAAAAAATTACGAATTTAGAGATGACTTCATCTCGGATGTTATAAATGTAAGTATTGTAAGTTCAAGAAAAATGTAAGTACTGTACTAGTATTTAATTCACAATTATATACTGCAGTATCGGAAAGTTTAGCCAATTACCCCAAGTTTGCAAACTGTTATTATTGAACACATATGATGCCAACCTCTGCCCACTGGATGGGTGTAGGTATGTAAGCAAATTAAAATTGTATGTTACTGACTCAACTAACAAACTTTCACTTTGTGTAAGGTCTCTTGAGGTCACAGTGATATCAGTGTGATGCACAGTAAAAATTACAGTACTGTTGAATTATTTATGTTAAATTATGGAATTAGCTTATCAGTGATATAACTTCTTTATCTAAAGAAATGTGGGAGGTTGTTTCTGAGCAGTTTATATGCCCCTGTAACCCTTACCACCACTGCACACAGGCTGGGTATGGGGTGCATAATAAATGAACTAAACTACAAAACTAACCCGTCATAATTTTATTTGTTATACAGTTAACTTTTACAGACTACTGTATACTGTACTTTGTTGTGCATTACCCATTAATGGTTACTGTCATGGCCTATTTAAGTTCCCTAGGAATTTTACATTCCTTATAATTAATAAACCCCCATTTACTATATATAGCATTAATTATTAATAAATATTAATGAACGTAATTTAATTATCATCATTTACTAAATAATTAAATTTTATCTTCATTAAATTTCTATTCCAAATTCCTACTGGCTTTCTTTAACTGACCAGAAATGATGTTTAGGCATCTCATCACTAGAAGTGCTGCTGAGATGTAAACAAAAAATTTGTTACTGTGTGTGGTAGACATTACTAATAAGAATACAAATAATTAGTAATAAACTTTATCTTTCAAATTATATGTTGCTTCAGGATAATGAAAGGAAGAACTATTGATAATTTTTTTATTCTACACAAGAAATTAAATCTTGTGTAAGTAAATAAATTATAAAATATCTCATAGAAAAACTTACATAAAGGGATAATAACAATATACAAATTCAATACATTATGATTGCATATAAAACAGATAGGCAAACATTATGGCAATAGCGTCACATACCAAACTCACGAATGTTACCCACAAGAATTGGAAGAGATTAAAAGCCATTAACTAATTTATACAATTCACTCATTAATGAGTATCCTACAGTAGTACAGATATTTTATGATAGCAAGATACAATATAATTACATTATTTTACTTCATAAAATTAGAGGAGTTAAATTATTATAGAGAGAAAATGATTAGAACATCCGTGAGTTTGGGGGCAGCGAGTCGGAAATGGCATTTGGTTTATAGTGACAAACATGAAGATCATCATCACTGAGACGTTCTACACCCCAATCTAGAGTGCTATATATTTGTAATGAGAATGATCACAATGTCTGACCTCTTTCTATTATGTCATTATGTCATTGTCATCCACGTTCCACATGTACAGTATTGGGATAACTTTCAGGTTCATTGGCAAAATCACATCTCAAGGCACAACATTGCTTGTTTATTTCAACAATCCTAAACTTTCACCAATATAACCATCATTCAGAAGCTGACTAAGACTGAATAGGTAACTATTGTAAATAATTCTGGTCAGCTGTTTTTCCTCTTTTCAAACCCATTAAAAAGATCTAATGCAAGTGAAAATATATGTTGTTTTAGGCAGTTGTGTTTGTGTGTGTGTACTTGTGTAGTATAATTGCAGGGGATGAGCCACAGCTCTTGGGTCCTGCCTCTCAACTTTTAATCGACTAAAGTTTAGGTTCCAGAGCCCATCAAGCTCTGTCATATCTACATTGAATAGTGTATATAGAGTTTGCCTCCATAACTTAAAACATTCCATTTGGTGTGTAATTATCTAAGTGTAGTTAAAGGATGAGAGCTACGCTCGTGGTGTTCCGTCTTCCCAGCACTCTTTGGCCTCCACCAGCTTCTCACCTAACTTGTTCCAACCGTCTATCACTCTGTTTGTGAAAGTGAATTTTCTTAAATTTCTTCGGCAGCTTTGTTTACCTAGTTTAAATCTATGACCTCGTGTGCGTAGGTGTAATTACCTGTGGTGTCCCATCTTCCCGGTACCCTATCATATAACGCTTTTAAACTATTGACAGTTTTGGCATCCACTGCCTTTTCACTTAACTTACTTCCACTGTCTACCACTGTTTGCAAAAGAGAACTTTCTAATATTTTTTGGCACCTTTGTTTCCTTAGCCTACAAATTATGTGGAAAGACATTAAAGAATTCTGACAAAAAAAGAGATCCAAGGGTGGTTCTGGATAGTAAACTGTAACCAGAGATCCACATAATGACATTGCGAGAGGAGCCTATGCTAAGCTTTCCAACTTCAGAAGTACTTTTAAATACATGGACGTTGAAATACTAAAGAAACTGTTCACAACTTTTGTGACCAAAATAGGAATAGGCAGCAATAGTATGGTGCCCATATTCCAAGAAGAACATCAATAAACTGGAAAGGGTGCAGAGACATGGCACTAAATAACTTCTGGTACTGAAAAACATGAGCTACAAGCAGAGGTTACAGATGTTAAATATGTCAAAACTAGAAGATATAAGGAAAATAGGTGACATGATCACTATGTGAAAAATATAAAACAAGGATTGACAAAATTGTGAAAGGAAATTTTGAAACCTGCAACTTAAAGAACAAGAAAATCATTGATTCAAGCAAAGGAGACAAAAATTCCAAAAAATACAAGAAAGTTGCCTGTTGGAAACAATGGTAGATACTGTAGTTGGAACAAATTTAGTGAGAAGGTGGATGCCAAACCCATTAGTATAATAGTTCTAAAGCATCGTGTGATAGAGTAAAAGGAAGATGGGCCCACCATGAGTGTAGTGTAGCTCCCATCCTGTAACTACACTTAGGTAATTACATACAGAGAAAATATGAGAGAAAACATACAGAGAAAATATGCTAACATATAAGATAGTAAAGGGATATTGACAAAATGGACGAAGATGTAAGGTACCGTATAATGGCTTTATATAAGGTATAAAATGAGAAATGGGAGACCGAGGGGAAACAGGTGTTGGCTAGAGATGCGGATGAGTCAAAGGACTCAGGAAACACTTTTTAGTTTAAATGCTCAAAGAAAGTCTGTTCCTGTACCCCACCTGTGTAAAAAAGTGGAATGGTATCTTCTGAAAAGAAGATACTGTCAAAGTGAGCTCAGTAAGCAGCTTCAATGGAAATATGAGAAACATGAAACTGAAAGTCATTGCATTAACTGATAAGGGCTGGAAAGGCAGGACTAGGGAACTATGATTAACCCTGCAAGCACATCTAGATAATTACACGCATACAAACACTGTATGCAATATACTGGCGAATATATATAATTATTGAACAATGATTTAATTTTAACTTTAAAGTTTTTGATTTTTGTAATGTACTATCTACAGTTTAAATTCAATCTTTACAAAACTACTGACACAAAATCTATAAGAATAAGTTATGAGAGTTGCAAATAGTATAGAGGTCAATAGTGACCACTCGATAATGGAAACAACTTATTTTCTGTTAAAAAAAAAAGATACAGCACATCTTAAATTGATCAGCTTATGACACTATAACAAAATCTGGAATAATCCTGCCATGCCTTGACTCGCTACAATAAAATTATACATCAAAGATCACAGATTCTAGATGCCTGTCCCACCAAGTGTCTTCGTAACCATGGCAGTCTCTACATACATCTCATAATGACAGGTAAACTGCGTAAGTGTTAAGTGAGGCTATGATCTGGCGTGAGAGAAATAAGGCTCAACACAAAGGGTATGACCTGATGTAAGTTCAGTACTGTATAGGGTACGACCTGCTGGTACAAATAACAAAAGCCTGTAACCTTGGCGAACATGGATGCTGAAAGCCGCTTCTCTTCCATTCCACTGCTACACAAGTGTGTGATGTTTGTTCTTTATTACTCTCTCTCTCTGTAAGCAATATAACAGACCTTGGGTAATTTAAAAACATTAAATATATCAATAAGAAAAAATCTAATTTTTAATCACAACCAGCTGTTTCACAGTACTATACAGTATATGTAAAATATTAAGCAAATAACTTGAACGTCAACATTCTTTTTAATTTACCCTGCAGAGCATTCTAATAAATAGTTATTGTAGAGAAACACAAAGTTGAAAGTAGACGTTATCAAAGAAAATGTCTTGTCTGTGTCACTTACAAAATCCCTTATAGGCAAAATGTCATCTTCAATAAATTCTCTTCTCAAATTGGTGTTTCTTTACATTGCTATCAGTACTTTGTGCTCTGTTCAACCTAATACATTGTCGAGATTGGCCAGGTAACCTTATATTATATATATACTGTATATATATATATGTAAATATAAATTTTTAAATTCTGGATCACAAGAAGGATGTTGTTTGTACATGCGACAACATATCTCAACCCTTAATCAAGTGTAATAAATGTTCCAAGACTGTTTTGATTGTACTAACAATAATAGGTGCAAAATTGTGACAGATTATCTAAATGCATACTGCAAGTCTCAGCTGAGTCACATAACAGATGTAACATAATTTCTTTCCAGTGCTGTGTACTGAAGGGAAGGTGCACCCATTCCTGTGCCAAATAGATCACTTTGAGAATATATGCTGGGGGTAACATTGTAATTTGGCACTGTAAAAGCACTTCAATCACCTCTTGTGGTCGAGTGCTTGATAATGCACTGCTCTATATGAAGTCTTAACAGATTTCAAATCTTGTCCATGGAGATCAGAAGAAAATTTTTATACAGTACTATTGGTTAGAAAATAAACTTAAAAAGAAAAAAATGTGATATAAGTCTAGTGTACTAGAAATTTTTAATTTGCTCAAACAGTATCAAGATTTTTGTACACTACTGTTTTGCAATGCCTTAGTAAAGTACTGTATTGTGAAAGTAGCCCTCATTGTCTGGTCGTATGAAGCAAATTCCTGCACCACCATTCAAATACAACAGGAATGGCTGCAACTCTCTTTGCCTACTATGCATCACTGGAAAAATAGAATGTGATATCCATCGAGGCGCTGAGACCCATGTACCAGCATGCAGACAGCATCTGCCACTTCTGCAACTCCAAGTGTTTTCATATAATTTGAGTATGCTCTATTTAGTCATAAAACTTTATAATCTCACCATGCATATGTGCATAAGCATGTTTACGTATAAAGTATAAAGTTCAATGAAAATGTCTACTTAGTTTCTTAAGAGTGATTATAAAAGTGTTACCATGACATTGGAACTATATAGCATGAATATAAAATAATTCTATGGGACATGTGAACTACTTATTGCAAAACACAAATGGAGGGCCTATGTTTTTCTGAGGAGCTGTGCATCTGTTGGACGTCTGATAGTGAACTGATGGCACTGCTGTATCATTGGGCAGGGCCTACATGTTCATTATTTTGAGAATACAGAGGAAGTTGCACTCAGCAGGGACGGATCTTCAGGAACAAAGAAGTAGAATAATGGCCTGGTTGGTGATAGTCTGCCACCATGGTAGCTTGGCAAGGCGAGTGAATGAACACCCATAGTGGTAATTTTTAAGATATTTATCACTGCATTAACTATCAAGAATATGGTAAGATTGTAATGGCAGCTAGGAACACACAAGTCTAAACATGGTGCTTTATTGATAGTGAAAGCATGGGGGAGTCAAATATAGTGGTTTGTAGTTACTGAGAGCATGACCGTTTGATAGGTGGTTATCTGAAGCATTGCACTAGCAGGTCCATTTAGGAATAAGATTACATAATGAAGGCCAGTTAGAGTATACGATTCATGAAAAGTGAGATGTTATTAAAGTGAGTGTGTTGATGTTGGTAAAAGTGAGGGTGTGTTGATGTTGGTAAAAGTGAGTGTGTGTTGATGTTGGTAAAAGTGAGTGTGTGTTGATGTTGGTAAAAGTGAGGGTGTGTTGATGTTGGTAAAAGTGAGGGTGTGTTGATGTTGGTAAAAGTGAGGGTGTGTTGATGTTGGTAAAAGTGAGGGTGTGTTGATGTTGGTAAAAGTGAGGGTGTTGATGTTGGTAAAAGTAAGGGCGTGTTGATGTTGGTAGGAGAATGAATGAAAATTGCTGTTGATGCCAAAGGTGATGAATCAGAAGACAATTTTTTGGGTTTGAGAACTAATAAACCTCCAGTCCTGTACTATATATCAAACCACAAATATTTTGTAATGCTTTGTGAGGCATTCACACCTTCTTCTACTATAAAAAGTACATGTCTAAATACATTTGTAATTGAAATGTAAACAGTTATTTAAATTTTGATGAAGTATATAGTATTTATTGCACACATTTTTGTTTGTTTACATCATATTTTCTAACTTGTTTGTATAAAACTACAACCTAGCTTGGCCAATCATGTGCGAATTCTAGTTGGCAAAATTTTGAATAGTGGGTATGGGTATACTTATCATTCTTCTCCACATTAAATTAAGATAATTATTTCATTGACTAGCACTGGGAACACAAACAGGTTCACTGGTCCCTATGGAATGCATCCTAACATTCATGGACACAAAGCACCCCAGACATAGTTTCTGCAACATGAACTGTATCCCAGGCTACAAAAAAATAGTTAATATAGTATCTAACTACAAAATACAGAGTTAAATGTACGGAGGAACAATATACACTGGGCTAGAATAAGGGCATTAGCCTGCATACACTATTACACTGCACACAGTACTTGATATGCATTGCATTTAGATACACAAGATAGGACTTCCATGCTGGAATCTATCACCAAAGATGTCGTCGTAATATTCAGGAAACAAACTTGCAGTGTTCCCCTCTATAATTTACAGGTACAAAATAGCACAGGCAGCAGGTGTAAAATACATTACAAATTTTACAAAGCAAAATTTAAAAAGAAAAATCATTAGTATACTGTACTTTAAAAAGAAATTTACTGCCAAATTATTCCAAACTATTACTTGATTGAATGACTGAATAATTTGATGGTGGGGGGTTTGGCCCAAGGCCTAGTTTGGAATACAGTATTGTAATTATCAATGCTAAATAAATATTACTTTTACATTTTTTGATACATAATGTTTAGTGTAGGCAGTAGTGACCAAGTTTGCTAATTCTAGACATACGAGGAGGAATTTTTTTATATTTTTTTTTACAAACAACTGGCACTACAGATAGAAAAGTTGATGTTATGAAGGTACACAGGGTGAGAATGTGCAGTACAGAGGTGCACAGTGCGAACATTTCCACTGTGTACATTGTACATTATTATTTTTTTATGAAGAGAATTCATCAATGGTTCTTTATGAACAGTATACTGTACATCAATTGTTCTTAACAAAAAGTATACACTGACGATTCTTATGAAATAAGTGATTTTTATGAAATGTGTATACTGTATCAATGGGCCTTTATGAAAAGTGTATATTAATGGTTCTTATGAAGAGTATACATCAATGGTCTGTTATGAAGTGTATAACAATGATATTTTATGATAATGAATACTACAAGATGGAATTTATGAAGATGTACATGACAAAGGTCCACACAGCAATATGATCATTCAGAAAGTGCATATGGTAAAAACGTGTATAACAAAGGTATACACAGTTGCACACACACACACACACTCTCACAGTGCAGATGCACTACAACTGTGCATGCTACAAAGCAACATCTGGCACTGTACACAGGGCGACGGTAGCATTACTTTGGTACAGGGAGGAGTGAGTTATTTGATGCATACTGCACATGGGAATCAGCTCACCATTTTGGCACTGCAAACTTGGCACAGGTGAGTAGGCACATGTCTTGCCCAGGGCTGCACAACCATTAACACTCGGTCATCTATAACAGAAGCTGGGTCTTGTCCTTGGTGGCACCAAAGTTACGGGGCTCACATTATTTGGCACTGGTATGATTTTTTTTTCTAAAGTCACTGGCACGACACTAGGCGAGGCACAGGCACAGTCCAGTTTCACTAAAAGAAACCCGGGTTAGTGTGCTCTATGATACAACGACGGCAGTATTTCTTAACTGTCCTGTAGCCCTCAATGGTCACTTGGCAGTCCTGAATATTGAGCTGCTGGAGGCCACGGCAGTAATACGCAATATACTGGACACCACGGTCTGTAATCATGTCACACGATTTCACTGACAACTTCTTCAAATTTGGACAATGCTCTGAAATGAGTTTCATGCCATTGTCAGTAACATCACACTTGCCAATGTCAAGGGCACGTAATCTCGGGCATGATCTCGCCACCATTTCCATGGAATCATCACTAACTGCCTCACACCCACGGACATTCAGGTAGCGGAGCTTGTAGCAGTGGCGAGCAATCTGCTTGATGCCAGCATCACTAATTTGGTCACACTTGGCCACACTTAGGTAGCGGAGGTTGGGCCCTAACTTGGCTAGCTCATACATGCCAAAATCGGTGATTTGGACACAATCTGACACGCTCACCTCACGCAGCATGAGGCAATAGCTAGCCATGTGCTTAACTCCTGTGTCTGAAATACAGCATTTACAAATATTAAATATTAACAAAACTAAATTTCAACACTGGCTGATTAATATTAAATGCAGACCTGTTAAGTTCATAGTTTATGAGCTGATTGCAAATCACGAAAATATTAGAAAACGGTTAATGTTGAGATCAAATTTTACCTAAAAGTACACATTAATGAAGCTATTAAGTGCATGCAATTGGAAATATGACACCTTACATTAAATTTCCTGCATGCTAACATCAAAATATAAATACTGTACAGTTAAAAATGAGTGAAATATGTATTCCACTAACAATATAAATCAGCTACACTATCAAATAAATACAGATAAGATCTACAGTAATTATTTAAAATCAAATTCTCTGTTTTTTTTTTCCCCCAGCTGCAGACATTTTTGTTCAGTAAAATATGGTAAAATACTTCAAGGCTTTGGTATGGGAAATTTGCTCGATGTTGTTGAATATCTTTACAGACAGTTTATATTGGTTATTGCCCTTCATATGACAGGTTGAATTTAGAATTTCTCGATGGAATCAGCCCACAGAGCATGTTGAAATATTAGGTATGCATGGTAGCTCTTAGGATGGCTCCAACCACATTTTGAATTATTTCATTGTGTAATTTTTGGTTGGACGTTTGGACACTTTTTGTTGGGAGTTTTTTTTTTTTTGGGGGGGGGAGTTAATAAGGGTGAAGGAGGAAGAGTAATGAGGGTGAAGGAGGAAGATTAATGAGGGTATAGAATGAAGAGTAATGAGGGTGAGGGAGGAAGGGTAGTGAAGGTGAGCACGGGTTGTGAGGGGTGAAGGAAGGAGGGTAATGAGGGTGAAGGAAGGAGGGTAATGAGGGTGAAGGAGGGAGGTAATGAGGGTGTTATGAGGCGGCCTACTTAAAAATTAGCAATACACAATGGGAATCCCTCAAATCCAATGTGGTTTTGAAAATGTCATAAAACTTGACCTTTCCAGAAAGTGTTTACGGCAACACGATGGGAGTGATCAGTGATGGGGATTCATATACAGGAGGGGCATGGACAAAAAAGAATGCACAGCCTATAGGTCATGAGACCTAAATGAAGACCTGATTAATGCATTCCACAAGGCTCACCTGTTATATTAATACATCTCCTGAGGTAGAGGTGTAGGAGCTGCGGACAATTCTTCACGATAACCTTGAGACCCTGGTCCTCAAGGGCGTAACAGTCCGTCATGTCGAGGTATTGGAGGTAAAGCTGGCGGGAGTGCATTGGCTCTGGCTCCACTGTCCCCTGCTGTGTCAGGTGTATACATGTAATCTGATGACAACCTGCAAGAGGAGGTGATCTTAGTGATTCTTTGTGACAGTGGTGGATGCCGGGGAAAATATCATCTTCCTGGAAAGGTACGGATAGGTGCTGATATTAATACAGTTGATATGAAACCAAACTAAGACAGTACTGAAGGAGTGACTGTGCAGTTCAGCTGCATGGTAAAACTACAAAGGTATGTGCTAGCAGTTGTACATTTTACCTATATGAGGGTACTGGAGGTGTGGATACTAGTACATGTGAGGGGTACTGGAGGAGGTATGGGTACAAATGACAAAGAACCTGGTATATCTTACACAGAACTAGATGGGAAACCTGGTAGTGTCCAGGTCTCGTTTCTTCCCCTCTCTTACTTCTCACCCTATATCTCCCTCTGTTCTTCCACCCTTTTCACATTCTCTCTTCCCCCCCCCCCCCCCTCTCCTCTCTCTCTCTCTCTCTCTCTCTCTCTCTGTCTCTCTCTCTCTCTCTCTCTCTCTCTCTCTCTCTCTCTCTCTCTCTCTCTCTCTCTCTCTCTCTCTCTCTCTCTCTCTCTCTCTCTCTCTCTCTCTCTCTCTCTCTCTCTCTCTCTCTCTCTCTCCTCTCTCTCCTGTCCTCTCTCTCTCTCTCTCACCCCTTTCTCTCTCTCTCTCTCATTCCAACCTACCCCATCTGCCACTACAGAAAATAATACTTGTTTATGAGAAGTCTAGATATGCCACCAATCAATTCAGAAGAATTCCACCTACATTATTATTCTTAAAAGTATAACCCTCACCACTGCCCCCCCCCATCTGTGTAAGTGTACCTAGTGCCACAAGTCTCACCTGTGACGTCAAGGTGTTCGAGGTTGACACATTGAGTGACCAGTTCGAAGATGCCAATGTTGGTAACATTGATACAGCCTTTTATTTCTAGATGACGCAGCTCAGGACACCGCCGGCCAATCAGCGACAAGCCTCGGTCAGACAGTCGTGAGCAGCTATTGAGAATCACCTGGTGGGTGAGAAAGTTAGTTAGTATTTAACAATTGGTGAGCGTCATGTTGGTGTTAATTTGGGAAGGGTGGTGCTTGTGTTGCTGGTGATCGTGTGGTTGTGTTCCGACCTATGAGAATGTGCGTGTACTCACAACAAATCAAATCAAATGAAATATTTGTTCAGGTAAAAGTACATACATACAAGATGAGTTACAAACATAATGTTGGATTTCTACTAATACGCACAGGGTATTTTGCCACATGCCTAAAGCCACTAATACACACGGTGTTTCGGGCAACGTTATGGGAAGCACTGCACACATTTGCTCTTAAGCCCCACATTTTTACCATCAGTAGTTCAGTGCAATAACCCTTTTTACTCGTTTTTTTATCACTTTCTACTGCATTCCTTTAGCTAACTACTCTGACACTAAAAAAGTTCTCTCTATTATCTCTATGGCTCATCTGGGTACTCAGATTCCACCTGTGTTCATTTGTGCCAGTGTCCTCTGTGTTAAATAAATTGTCTTTATCTACTCCATCCACATACAGGCCTCTGAGAAGCCTGTATGTGGTGATCATGTCTCCCCTAACTCTTCCTTCTTCCAGTGACATGAGGTTTAGTTCCCGTAGTCTCTCCTCGTAGCTAATACCCCTCATCTCGGGTACTAGTCTGATGGCATGCTGTGTGTGCGTGTACTCACCTAGTTGGGCCTGTGGGGGGGGGGGGGTTGAGCTCTGGCTCTTTGGTCCTGCCTCTCAACTGTCAATCAACTGGTGTACAGATTCCTGAGCCTACTGGGCTCTATCATATCTACATTTGAAACTGTGTATGGAGTCAGCCTCCACCACATCACTGCCTAATGAATTCTACCTGCTAACTACTCTGACACTGAAAAAGTTCATTCTAACGTCCCTGTGGCTCATTTGGGTACTCAGTTTCCACCTGTGTCCCCTTGTTCGTGTACCACCAGTGTTGAATAGTTTATCCTTGTCTACCCTGTCAATTCCCCTGAGGATTTTGTAAGTAGTGATCATGTCTCCCCTTACTCTTCTGTCTTCCAGTGTCGTGAGGTGCATTTCCCGCAGCCTTTCCTCGTAACTCATGCCTCTTAATTCTGGGACTAGTCTAGTGGCATACCTCTGAACCTTTTCCAGCTTCGTCTTTTGCTTGACAAGGAACGGGCTCCATGCTGGGGCCGCATACTCCAGGATTGGTCTTACATATGTGGTATACAAGATTCTGAATGATTCCTAACTCAGGTTCTTGAAGGCTGTTCTGATGTTAGCCAGCCTCGCGTATGCCGCAGACGTAATTCTTTTATGTGGGCTTCAGGAGACAGGTTTGGTGTAATATCAACTCCTAGATCTTTCTCTCTGTCCGGTTCATGAAGTACTTTATCTCCCATTCTGTATACTGTGTCTGGCCTCCTGTTTCCACCTCCTAGTTTCATTACTTTGCACTTGGGTTGAACTTTAGCAGCCATTTGTTGGACCCTTTATTCAGTCTGTTTAGGTCGTCCTGTAGCCTCCTACTATCTTCCTCTGTTTCAGTCCTCCTCATAATTTTTGCATCATCAACAACCGGTGAAAGAAACGCGTCTATACCCTCTAGGAGATCATTTACATATATTATAAACAGTATAGGTTCAAGGACTGACCCCTGCGGGAGTCCACTAGTGATGTCTCGCCAATCTTACACCTTACCCCTCACAGTGACTTGCTGTCTTCTGTTACTTAGGTACTCCCTTATCCAATGGAGTACCTTTCCTTTCACTCCAGCCTATACCTCCAGTTTTTTCACTTGCCTCTTGTGTGGTACTGTGTCAAAGGCTTTCTGGCAATACAAAAATATGCAGTCTGCCCACCCCTCCCTTTCTAGCCTGATTTTTATTGCCTGGTCGTAGAATTCAATTAATCCTGTGAGGCAGGACTTGCCATTCCTGAACCCATGTTGATGCTGTGTTACAAAGTTCTTTCGTTCCAGATGTTCCACTAGTTTTTTTCGCACATCTTCTCCATCAGCTTGCATGGTATGCAGGTTAGGGACACTGGCCTGTAGTACAGTGCCTCCTGTCTATCCCCCTTCTTGTATATCGGGACTACATTAGCCGCTTTCCAAATTCTTGGCAGTTCTCCTGATGCCAGTGATTTGTTGTACACTATGGAGAGTGGCATGCACAGTGTTTCTGCTCCTTCCTTTAGTATCCAAGGGGAGATTACATCTGGGCCTATAGCCTTTGTCACATCCAACTCTAGCAAGAGCTTCCTTACATCCCCACTGGTAATCTCAAACTCTTCTAGTGGTTCCTGGTTAACTATTCCCTCTCTTATCTCTGGAACTTCCCCTTGTTCTAAAGTGAAGACCTCCTGGAATTTCTTATTCAGTTCCTTGCACACTTCCTTGTCGTTTGTAGTGAATCCATCTGCCCCTATCCTTAATTTCATTACCTGTTCCTTTACTGTTGTTTTTCTCCTGATGTGGCTGTGCAGCAATTTAGGTTGTGTCAATGCCTTGCTTGCGATGTCATTTTCGTATTGTCTTTCTGCCTCTCTTCTCACCCTGACATATTCATTCCTGGCACTCTGGTATCTTTCTCTACTCTCAATTGTTCTGTTATTTCTATAGTTTCTCCATGCCCTTATATTTTGCTGCTTAGCTAGCCTACATCTGATTAAATCATCAGTGTGTGTGTGTGTAATTACCTAAGTGTAATTACCTAAGTGTAGTTACAGGATGAGAGCTACGCTCGTGGTGTCCCGTCTTCCCAGCACTCTTTGTCATATAACGCTTTGAAACTACTGACGGTCTTGGCCTCCACCACCTTCTCACTTAACTTGTGTTAAGTGAGAAGTGTGTGTGTGTGTGTGTGTGTGTGTGTGTGTGTGTGTGTGTGTGTGTGTGTGTGTGTGTGTGTGTGTGTGTGTGTGTGTATGTGTGTGTGTGTGTTGGTGTTATGTTGAGTTTGTTGTATTTGTACGTTTTCCTGACCTATGCATGTGGGAAGGGACGAGAAGGGGGCGATAATTGTGTGTGGTTGATTTGAGTTGCTTGGACTATTGATGGTGCTGTCTGAGAGATTTGGCGGTGTTTAACTGAGTGATATTGGTGTGTGGGTGGGACTACAGGTTTGTGTGTGTAGGTGGGGTTACTGGTGTGTGGGGGGGTGGTGTTACTGGTGTGTGGGGGGGGTGGGGTTACTGGTGTGTGGGGGGTGGTGTTACTGGTACTGGTGTGTGGGGGGTGGTGTTACTGGTGTGTGTGGGACTACAGGGTGTGTAGGTGGGGTGGTGTGTGGGGGGTGGTGTTACTGGTGTGTGGGGGGTGGTGTTACTGGTGTGTGGGGGGTGGTGTTACTGGTGTGTGGGGGCCTCTTAATTTAGAGTGTTGCAAGTTCTTGGACATTTTATGTTGATGCAATTCTCTCTCAGCTTACCTATTGCAACTTGGTTTTTCAGTGGGATTATTTTGCATATCCTGCTTAGTCTCCTGGTCTTATGTGGTGTTATGTCCGTCTCTAATATTTGTCAAGCTTAAATCATTATCCATCTCTCCCGCCTGCGCTCTAGAGAATATAAATTTAATAATCTGAAGTGGTCCCAGTAATTTAGATGTTTTATTGAGTAGATTTAGGAAGTAAAAGATATATTCACATTCACCAGGTCAGCAATTTCTCAAGTTTTTAATGGGGCTGTTAGTGTGCAACAGTATTCCACCCTAGAGAGCACTAGCATCTTAAACAGTATGATAATTAGTCTGGCATCTCATGTTTGAAAGGTTCTTGTTATCTAGCTTGTCATTTTTTCTTACAATTATGATAGGTACTTTGTGTTAAAAGTAAGGTCTTCCGGCATGATTATTCTAAATTCTTTTATACTGTTCTTTTTTCTATAGTGTGATTTGACTGCGTTTTATATGTGGATGGTATTGTTATTGCGTGAAAGGAATATCGCTGCAAGTTGACCAGACCACACACTAGAAGGTGAAAGGACGACGACGTTTCGGTCCGTCCTGGACCCATTCTTAAGTCGATTGTTCCAGGTTGGTCCAGGACGGACCGAAACGTCGTCGTCCCTTCACCTTCTAGTGTGTGGTCTGGTCAACATACTTTAGCCACGTTATTGTGACTCATCGCCTGCATATCTCCGCAACTGTTGTTATTGTTATAAACAGCATCCTGGTGCTTCGGAACCCATTAACTGTTTAATAATTGTAAACAAAGCCGCCAAAGATTGAGAAAAGATGTACAGGTTCGTAAGTGTTTGCGTAACTTCTTCGTAAATCTAGCCCCAGGCCGATGGCTAGCCTTCCCTGGTTACTGTTTAGTCTGTGAGTGCTGTTTGTCTTCGAAGCAGGGCACTGTAGAAATGGTTGGGCACGTTTCCTTTCACCTAATGTCTCTGTTTACCTAGTAGTAAACAGGTTCCCGGGAATTTAGCAACTCTTGTGGGGGGGGTTATATCCTGAGGAAAGTCAGTACAAGTTCAACCTAGAGGGGGACCTCAATATAACCCTTAAGTGTATATGTAGTATATATATATATATATATATATATATATATATATATATATATATATATATATATATATATATATATATATATATATATATATATATATATATATATATATATATACATGTCTGTTCACTGTTCTTATGCTTGCTTCACTGTACTTCTGGATGTTTCACTGTATTAATGTGTGTTTCCTGTGGGTGTTTTTCCCTTGCGTGTGTTGACTTGTCCTGACTTACACTTTACTCACCTAGTTGTGTTTGCGGGGGTTGAGCTCTGGCTCTTTGGTCCCGCCTCTCAACCGTCAATCAACTGGTGTACAGGTTTCTGAGCCTACCGGGCTCTATCATATCTACACTTGAAACTGTGTATAGAGTCAGCCTCCACCACATCACTGCCTAAAGAACTGTGAATTCAAAACTGTGTTTTTAATGTGTTGGGTGTCTGTTCCGACTCTGTTGTGCTTCAAATTTTTTTCTTGCCTGTTTTAAATCTCTACACATCTTTTGTTATTTTTATATGATAATGAGAGAGAAGTATATATATGTACGGGCTTCCTGTCCCCGACAAACCAAATTACAGCGATCGTGATCAGGCTGATCCGATACCTCTCGCAGAAATATCTCTCGTTTTCTCTTGAAAGCTCCCACTGATTGTACTAGCAATATTTCTTTTATGTGTTGGCAGGAGATTGAAAGAAAAAAAAAGTGGTGGGCCTCGTCCTCCTAAGGTTTCCTAACGTCAAGAAACTGTCGTATTAAAGTTTTTATTATTAACATCTTTATTGATAAAATTAATTATAATTTTGCGTAAAGAGCCCTTATCCTAATATACCAGAGGACCCACAACAGAAAACGGGACAGTATGTCACATGGCATTAGTACGATAGTTTCTTGACGTTGGGAACCTTAGGAAGACGGCCTGCTCTCCCAGGGGCCAGATTCACTAAGCAGTTACGCAAGCACTTACGAGCCTGTACATCTTTTTTTTAATCTTTGGCGGCTTTGTTTACAATTATTAAACAGTTAATGAGTTCCGAAGCACCAGGAGGCTGTTTATAACTATAACAACAGTTGATTGGGACGTTTTCATGCTTGTAAACTGTTTAATAAATGCAACGAAATCCATCAAAGATGTACACGTTCGTAAGTACTGGCGTAACTGCTTCGCGCCCGAGTGTCCCTTGCGGGGCCGCACTCACCTTCTCGACGTGGACACAGCCGCCGGAGTCTCTGGCCAGCAGTCTGGTGATCTGTTTGATGGCCCTGTCTGCGTGGATGGCCTCGCTGGCCAGGGTGATGGTGGACCAGAGGCGCGGGTCCCACGCCAACACATACCACCGCCGACACACTCTCGCACACTGGCACACAGCGTTCGTAGGGAGGAACGACAGGATTCGAACCACGAGTTCGTCGCTTAACTTATCGAAAGGTGACGACCGCGCCACCCGTTTGCCTTTGTACGTGGCCAACAGCTGGTCGGTGCTCTCCAGTTGTTGCTGCGGCTGCGGCGTCGTTTGTTGCTGCTGCGGCGGCACCTGCGGAAGCTGCGGTCTTGGAGAGGACCGCGGACACGACGATAGCGCTGACAAGTCGAGGGCAGGGAAAGGAGAGGCTCGCACGTCTGACCAAGGTGAAGGCGTGGTGCGGTCTCTGGTGGGCGTGGTGCGGTCTCTGGTGGGCGTGGTGCGGTCCCTGGTGGGCGTGGAACGCTCCCGGGTGGGCGTGGGCGTCTGTCTGGTGACGAGGGTATGGTAGCCCAGGTCGTGGCCGGGACTGACGCGCCCCAGCGTGCCGCCGCCCACGTACACCGAGGGGGACATGCGGCCCAGCTTGGTGGTGGCTGCGGGGCGGCCCTCCATGGCCTGCGGGCGCGGGGGCGGCGGACTGAAGGGCGGCGGGGGCGGCGGGTCGGTGGCAGGGTGGCAACCGGGCGGCGCCTCGCCCACACCCTCACTGTCCTCGTCCTCACGACCTCCCTCACTCACGTCTGAAACACAAACAACAATTAACATAACGGTACCAAAAAATGTATACATATGCATAAATCATAAGAATAATTGATTGTCTTACTGTGCAAACATCCTTTATCTACTGAACAGTGCCATATGGCATACTGAACAGTGCAATATGACATACTGAACAGTGCAATATGGCATACTGAACAGTGCCATATGGCATACTGAACAGTGCCATATGGCATACTGAACAGTGCCATATGGCATACTGAACAGTGCAATATGACATACTGAACAGTGTCATATGACATACTGAACAGTGCCATATGGCATACTGAACAGTGTCATATGACATACTGAACAGTGCCATATGACATACTGAACAGTGTCATATGACATACTGAACAGTGCCATATGACATACTGAACAGTGTCATATGGCATACTGAACAGTGCAATATGGCATATTGAACAGTGCAATATGGCATACTGAACAGTGTCATATGACATACTGAACAGTGCAATATGACATACTGAACAGTGCAATATGGCATACTGAACAGTGCCATACGGCATATTGAACTTGTAGAAAGTTCCTCAACAGCCGGAATATTTATTAAGAAGCAAGTGACGAAAGTGACAATTGAAGGACTGTTTATACAGGACATTAAACATTCCTCTTTGACGGACGTAAATTTAGCCTCGCACGTTAGGCCTACTCACGAATATATTGTTACCAGTAAAAAGGTGCCGTAATGTTACCCCGTAATTGTCAACAGCAATAGTGAAAATAGGGAAATATTTTTAATATAAAATAAATTTTATATTAAGAATGTGTTGATGGCATTTTATTTTATATTTAATATAAATTAACATGTGAAAACAATTGAACTTTTTGTTTATTAAGATGGGAACATGTGGTCTTATGCAGCTACCTTGGATTATATGAAGCGTTACATAGTTTGACAT